AAAATTTATAGTATAAGATACGAGTTGGTTACGAGGATATGACACCGGCCGGGACGACATCAATGAATGTTTCTGCTAAGATATGGCGAGGCCGTAAGGCCGAGACAATTTTTATGCAGAAACATCCCGAGATGTCGCCCCAGCCAGTGTTATACCCCATAACTAACGTGTTTCATATGCTCTAACTGTTTTATTGCATTTTCATTTTTTGTAATAGAAATCAGAAAAAAAAAACAAAAAAAAAAAAAAAAAAAAAAACGTGCATTTCTCTCTCTTGTGCCTAATATGAACCTATACCAGCCAATGATGTCGTAAGCTACTTTACAACTATATATAATATTGAAAACTTAATGATAGAGACGTATTGTAAACTGGTAGTTTATGGAGAAAGTTATTTGATTCAAGATTTAAGGGTTTTTTTCACTGGAAATAATTCATTCAGCAGATGTACCTTTTGATTTCAGCAGTTGCATAATTATATGAGAATTGTAAGAATTATGGTTCTTAATTGTAAATTTATTTATTATAATCACATAATTTTCATAGTTTGATTTTTCCGATAGTATTTACTATTAAAGACATTGTTTGACTCTTTCAATTTAACATAGCTTCACTATTTCCGCCAACGTAACGTCTTATTTCGTTTCCCGTAAAAAGACGTCATTAAATTGTTTTACGGTGACGTCATTAACCGTTACTTTGATTTGTTTTTGCCTTGGGCGGAAGTGCTTAAAATTGTTGATGTATTTTGTTTATTGATGTTTCCCAATGGAAAGTAGATCATAATCGGTAAGCTAGTTATTTATTATGTATGAATCTCAATAGTAAATTCAATATTTTTTAAATTGATGATGAACTTTACAATATTTGCCGTGAATTAAATTATAAACGGAATTAATCTATTTGCGGGAAATATAAAATAACATTATTATTTGCATAGATTTAAGTCTATATAATTGTAAAGTAATATCGTATATTTATGATTTGTATTAACATTATTATTTTAGAACAATTATTGTATTTTTATTTTAAATACGTTGTAATCAGTATTTAGTTTGTTTATTTTCATTAATTTTAGAGAAATCGCATTGTTGTATCACATTGATATATTATTCTATGAATGAGAATAAAGAAAAGTGTTGAAATCTGCGCATTCTTGACTATTTTTAACGGAAAACATCTACAAGAATGAATTCATTTCATTACTTTTCTTTCTTACTTTTTTTGCTACTTGGGAATGGGTTCGTTACCGTTGTCCCATTGGAGCCTCAGTGAAAAAACTATACTGATATATACAAGGTGTGAAAAAAAATCAACTGCTATATATCAATACAGTTTTCAAATGCTCATTGAAAGTGTATAATGGGTTAGTAAGAACAAAGAAAAATTTCTAAACCGTGCAATAATTTATATAAACACTATTTAAATCGTTTCGAACTTTTGGTGTTATACATATGAAATTTTCATTGTGTAAGGGCCATTGCCTTTTGATGTAATTAGCTAGTTTGGCAAAGTTAACATGATTTATTATTAATGTTTTAATGTTTTAAAGCAGCACGCCTTCAGATTCATGTTAATTTTCATGAAAATTTTGGAAATTTATTAAAAAGTAAAATATTGTGAGATGAACAAATAAAGCAATTACCATATTGCAATTGGCACTTAGAATCCAAGAAAATTACCAAAAAGTGGTCAACATAATTATGCAAAAACAGCCCTTACTGCGTTAGTAATGCAGTAGAAATATGGTGATACAATACTGCAAAAGCAGTTTTTAACTGCATATAACATGTAAAATATCACTTGAATCTTGAATGTTTTTACCTTTTTAAAACTTTTAGTACATTTTTCTCGATATTGGTTTTCTTGAAATATTTTGGCTCATCTGGAGGCGTGCAGCTTTAAAGACTTACAAAGAATGGGCGGAACTTATACTATAGGACGTTACCTGAATATAATGTTGTGTGTTGAATATGACAGGCAATTTTAGTAAGGCTCCATTTCACGGTATTTGTATGGTAATTTTGTTACCAGACACGAAACAGTTTTGTACAATCCCCTTTTTTATTAATGATTTTTTAAATTTGATAATAAATGTTTTATATGATATTACGAAAAGACATCCAGCCAATGGCGAAAAACTAAACAGTGTAACTTTTTCTTACATTACGTTAGCTATTATTAACGATATTTTATGCAAATTCAACTTTAGTGTAAAGAGTTTGGCAGTAGCCAAAAACAGCGAAGGAAAAATCTCGATTAAAATATAAGCTTATTTAGCCTGGGATATATTTTAAAATCTGAATGAAAAAAGAAGGAAAAACAAGAAATTATAAATAGCTTGGTCACATAAACATAAAAAGAAGAAAAACATTTGAGTATTTGAAGTTTATTCCAATCAAAATTTTAATTGAAAGTTTATAAATGACAACCTTTCGTTGATACGAAATACCCGAATCAACAAATTTGCAACACCTTTGGAAATCACAAAAGAAACCTAAAATCCAAAGGAAGAATCAAAAGAAAGCTTACTTATCTAAAATATTTTGACAAACATTTATTATAAACAAACAATTCAATATCAAGTCCGTATTTGTTTAAAATGCACTCGACCTTAGTGATTGTTTCGTAAAATAAATTAGGACAAATTTTGAATATGCAATACTTAAAATGAACGTTTACAATGTATTATATTAGTCCCTGAACAAAACTAACGACAACCGTCAAAAATGCGGATGTTTAGTGGATATATGTACGTCATTCCAAATTTAATCCATTAACATAATTCATCTCTTGACCTTTTGAAATAAATTCTTAAAAATTTATTGGCATGGAACTGTTTTCATTCGATGAAGTTTTGTTTTTGTTTGCGTCTTATTATTATAATTTTTTTTTTGAAAATGGGAGCGAATTCTGCTAATTGTTGAAAAAAATACATCCGGTATAATTCATTATAAATAGACTCCTTATCGTCTCAATGTAGTATACAGTGCCGAAACGTATTTGCTGTTTAAGAGGCAAAGTATTTTTTTAACACTAAAGTTAAATTGAAATTAATTTATTACATGCTTTTCGGTGGTTTATAGAAATATATCAGTGATATAAAACTGGTAATTTCACTGTTTCAAACAGTGAAATTACCACTTTGATAATTTCACTGTTTTGAATTTAAGCCCCTTACGTTGTTTCACTAAAATGCCAGCTTGCACTGTCCCAATCTCCACACAGTGATCTCCCCTTAATTCTTCGGCGTAGATCTCTGCCACCAAGGTCCCGATATATCAGAATTTCTGATATACTATATTTTTTCAAAAATTGTTTTATCTACAGCTTTATCTATCAGATAAGTTTTCTCTCATTTATTTAACAATGTTTATGAATAAATAATATGAATATTTAGAAATAATTTTAAAAATTATGAGATTATTTTCTACCGAGACGATATTTTGATATTTTATATTTTTTAGCTTTTGAATTTATTTTTCGTTATTTTGTATACTTTCGATAATTTTTTGATAAACTATATCGAACGTAGGCACTGAAAGTTAAAAATAAAACAGAAAGAGAAAAATAACGTTAGATTTTCTTTGTAACGGTCGATATTTACATTTGAATTTCGACGTTACGTCATGTGACTTTCATCATCATGTGACGTCTTTGAAGGCAGTGATTACAATTCTGCCAAGGGAGGTAATCACTGTGAGGAGTTTGGCACTGTCCTGGGTACCAACTTAATGACGTGACGTCGTAAATGACGTCACGTTTTATTATTATTTGGCGCTCTTTTCATTCAGTTTTAGGTTTAATGTCTTTTTAAAACGTTTCTTTGCATGTAATAAAAAGAAAATTTGTTTAGTTTATTGTAGGATGGAAATATATTTCACCTTGTGAACACCAAAAGTTCATATTTCACTCGTGGCTGCGCCACTCGTGAAATATACCTTTTGGTGCTCACTCGGTGAAATGTATTCCGATCTTACACTGAACTAAACAAATATCCTCTATATATCGTTGTTTCCTCTATCATTTTAAGTGAATCTTTATTTCTTATGTGCACATTTCTTATGTTTGATGTCTGACTAAGGTTATTTCCCCTCTTCGAACCACTTCGTATCTTTGCAAGGCAGAAAGAATGCTGAAATTCAAAAATTGTCTATTTGTGTTGCGAGCGTATTAACAAATCAACAACAATCAACATATGAGCCGCGTCACGACAAAACCAACATAGTGCGTTTGCGACCAGCATGGATCCAGACCAGCCTGCGCATCCGCGCAGTCTGATCAGGATCCATGCTGTTCGCTATCAGTTTCTCTACTTGTAATAGGGTTTGTAAGCGAACAGCATGGATCCTGATCAGACTGCGCGGATGCGCAGGCTGGTCTGGATCCATGCTGGTCGCAAACCTATTATGTTGGTTTTGTGATGACGCGGCTCATATTTTACGCGCACGAAAAATCGATATGTAATAGTGTCACACGCTCTAAAACGCGCGTGAAAACAAAACTAAAGACAACACATTAAAATCAGTCACGTGACTCACCTAATATACCTATACATGTAATAAATTTTAGTTTTTTTTGCAGATGAAGCTGGGCATGGAAAGTTTCGTTGTTTGGTTTTTCATTAACATTGCTATCATAAGTGTGCATGGTGCGGCGCATTCCTCCACGACATGTATTCACGCATGTGGAAACACAGTTTCAACTAACTTGCGACAGACGTGTCGCGAATGCTCTGCCAACCCACCCATTGGCTACGACATGTGCACTAACGCGTGCGGCAATACCTTTTCAAGCTACCTCAAGCAGATATGTGATAACTGTGTAACAAGCGTATCTTTGACTGACAGAATGTGTATAAAAGCTTGTGGCAACACGTTTACTAGTCAATATCGGCATATATGCAACCGATGTGTTCAGACTCCACCAATAACGGACACCCTGTGTATACATGCGTGTGCGAACACAGTTTCATCAAACCTAAGAGCAGTATGTCGGAAATGTGTTTTAAGACCGTCATTTACTGATGAAATGTGCATACATGCATGTGACAATACATTTTCCTCGAACTTTAGAAAGATATGCAATGCTTGTAGTTAAACAGTTATTTCTTGAGTTGTTATTATTTTTACTTTCTTAAAATCTAAGTACATTTTTCTCAAGGTTGATTTTCTTGAACTAGTTTGGAGGCAAGCAGCTTTAACATATTTAATCAGCAGTTAGGATGCGTTAACAATACAAAATAATGGCATATTGAACAAAGTTAGTCTATTATTTAGCATAAAGATATTTTGATAAAAAATTTGTGTTGAATTAAAGTCTTGAGTTCAATCAATGTTATTGTATTTTTTAACGATTTGTATTTATCATAAGTTATGTATATACAAAGCAGAAAAAAAGTTAAAAAAGATATTTTAGCGAACTGTTATTTAGAGAAATTGTCGTCCTTGCCTTCAAAGTCTTATTTCTTATGCCTAATATCCCTTTCTTACATTATTCATAAGAAATATGTTATAAAAAGAATTCATGTCTACAAAAATTATGTAAACAAACTTTTCGACAAAAATACATGAGAGAATGTATAATCTTGAGAGAAATTGGTGAAGTTACTCCTCGTCGGTTGCTTACATTAACCTTTTAACAAACATTCAACTTAAAGGGCAAATTATACGCCAGAAACAATTATATAGAGGATATTTGTTTGTTTTGAATGTAAGATTAAAATATAATTTCACTGAGTGAACACCAGATGCAATATTTTCACGAGTGGCGAAGCCACGAGTGAAAATATAATAGCTGGTGTTCACGAATGAAATATATTTCAATCTTATATGTAAAACAAATAAATTTTCTTTTAATTTCATGCTTTTTAAGTGATTTTAAGTATTTTTCACTGATTTTGCCGCGTAACGTCGCGCATTCTCCTTTGTGACGTCATCACATCATGACGTCACATCATCAATTTTGAAATATAGTTCTGTTTTTCTCTAATTTTTATACATTTTTTAACATGATGTATGGTAACATCGACTTTCTTTTCCTAAAGAATCACAATTTACGTATGACGGCATTTATTTCTGCCTGTTAATTATTCCATTTAGTTATGATTTTCTTTTCATCCACATTCGGATATAGTCCGGCTACAGTGAAAATCATATTTTATAAATTTCACTAGTGGTTTATCAGAATATAATCATCTGATATATTACTATAAAACACTGGAAAGCACGAAACAATTTTGTTATCATTTTTAGAAATGGCAAAAATAAATATTATAACATTTAGATAGTGTTTTTGTATTTTCTGATCGCAAGATCAGATAAATACATAGCTAACATCCACGGTCTAACACAAAATTTCCTAACAGTTCTAACAACGCAAAGTAGTTCTCACTCAAAACTGCTTAAAAACCAGCAATTTAAAAGAAAGAACAATTTTTTGTTACAAGTGTCCAACAAATTACTACACATTCAAACTTTAAAAGTAGCGTTGGCTTATAGAATTGCCAATAAATGCACACTCACAAATTACGCGGATGAATATGATTCTAATCAATGAAAATGCTATTTTTAGCGAATACTACACAAATAAATCTGACTGCCGAGTAGTTGAATATATAGTTTCTACATGTTGGACTGTTTGGGCGAGAAGATTTTTGCTAAATTATTTACTTCAATTTTAAACAACAGGTTTACTCTGAACAAAATACCTCGAAATTACCCTAACCCGAAATCTGGGACATACGATACGTTATCGTATATCCCAGCCGAAATGCAATGGAAATTCTAAATTTAGAATGACTTGATTTTATTCAGACTCTGTTTTTATAACTTCTCCGTGGTGCAGGGGTAACGCGCTCGTGTAATGTGTGAGAGGTCTGGAGTTCAAATCGCAGTCGAGTCAACATTTTATTAAATTCTTTTTTTTAGTGTCTTTGTTAAGGAAATAGCCACGATATGCAAGGATAAAGTGTGGCTATCATAAAAAATGAACATAAATGATTTTTAGCAACGGATATACATGTATACAATCATTTGTAATCCATATGTGTAATGCATGATCAACACCACACTTGTGTAATTGTCCCTTATTATGTTATCGCTATTAGCGAAGACCCCCTCTAAAGGTATCTGGTCACGCTTACTAACAATATGACACTGGTTACATTACCATGTTGATATCATGTTGAGCATAATTGTTTATTATACAATAATTGTAATAAAAAAATACAGATTTTATGAATATTGTTTTCTTTTCTTTTTTGTGTTTTATGTGCTATTTTAATACTGAGTTTTTACGTTTACTACTATTTTAAGAATTCAATTGTCATATTGACCGACGATTATATAAGTAAAAACTTAACTGGTAAAAGTCAGTAAATTATGGTTAAACTTTTAATATATAATATTGTTTATTCTTAAAACATATACATGTACATTTGTATTTTTCTTTATCATTTTTTAAATTATCAATCAATTGAATAATTCATAAAATCTAATTTGTAACTTTGAATAATTCCTCGGCATCTTTACTAAACACGAATAACAAATTAAATAAAATGTTTCAAAGTTGATAGTGTCATATTAATACCAAAAAAATGTACCTTTTTTCTCAATTATTGTACATGTTTATTGTTTTTATCTCATATAGATAAAATAAAACATGTTATTGTTGTTGTTGGTTTTTTTTCGAATTAACACATCATTCAAGTTTTTCCACCTTAAACAGTAACATAATTATAGAAAATTAAAAATATCACGTAATAGTTTTTTGTTCTTAATTAGGTGTCTTATTCCCTAGAGGATTATCCGTAACGTACCGGCAAACGGTATTTATCCAGGTTTCCGAAAAGGTCAATTAACCAATCATGTACGGTTTACAGATCACATGCTCCTCCATGTACCGAAAACAGGTCACGTGCTCCTCCATTCCTCAAAAGTTAAACGCGTACCAATACCCTGCGGTCTCCAGACCGCAGAGAATCAAGCACCCCCATACTGATCGGAATGATCGGCTTTTATTATGTCCGACTAAAAGGCTCGAGAAGTTGCTGTCGCCCTTTCTCATTCCAAAAGAGGCGCCGCGCCGAGGACGCCAAAAATAAACTTATACAGGAAAACAAATATAGATATACAGTACGATTTAGATTGCAAAGATCAGAAAATACCACAGAGCTTGCAGCCCTTTGATTTTAGAGCATGTTTGGTGCTTATTACAGAAAGAGCGTAACTATGTGTAAAATTATTTTTCATAAAAGTAGCAAAATGTAAAAAAGTGACTGACTTTAATACAAAATACGGGTGCTCTGCATCTTCTCCCGTTAAATTCAGTTGAGAAACAGCAAAAATATTGAAAAGAAAAAACTTGAATTGGGCAAAAATGAGCGTGTTCCTTATTCTTAAGGTCTCGTGGTATCGCCACACGTTAAATTTGAAAAGCCTGGTGCCATGAAAAATTAACAGCTAGCTTTTAATTTAAAGTACTATAAACAAACATTTTGACGTTTCTTAAAACTATTTGGCAATTTAGTTCAGTGATAGTTATTTAGTATTTTGTATAAAAGTCAAATGGAATCTACTTATTTGTTTAAATTTTGCTGCTTTAATTACAAATAGTTTCACTCTGGAAGTGAGAAGCAGCTGTCATGCTCTAAAATCGTTTAAAGGGCCGGAAGGTTATAATCGGCCCTGAAATGAATAATGCCCTCGGGCTGAAGACCTCGGGGCCGTCACAATGTAGCGTCAAACAGCACGTGCAAAACAATCAAATCAAGTACGCTATTTTAATGTCGCAAACGAGTTAAGTTTTACATTTATTTCACTTTTAAGAGTGAAATACAATAAACAAACAAAGTTTTATCAACGTTTCCAAAATTCGTTATTCTACACACAGAAGATTAACGACAGTTTTTATATTTTTTCTTGAAAAGTAGTCCGGCAAACATGCATACCACGCGATCAAGTGCCGTAGATCAGTGAAAATATACGGCACCTTGTTATCGGGCCGAAATTGATACAAGTGACAGGATAAAACTAGTTATCAGCCCGCAGAACATAGTTAACTGTAAAAGTGAAAGTAGGTTATCAGCACGAATCGCTTTATTTTATTATGAGAGCTTAAAAGCGTATTTCGTACAAACACATTTTTGTTACTATTGAAATACGACAAATTTATTCCGAAAAAAATGAAAATAAAACTTGCTTCTAGATTCTACTGCTTTGAACACACAAACAATAAACATCCCTGTACAGAACAGTAGAAGTGTAGACAAGAATTTCAACTAAAGAACTTTAAAGTATTTGTTTGTTTAAAAAAAAAATTCTACTATTAGATCTCCCAAGTGTATTATAAGAGGTTAATACACGGCAGGAGAGAGCCGGAAGGTGATGATCGGCCCGCAAAATGAATAATGGACTCGAGGGCTTTAGCCATTATTCATTTTGCGGGGCCATTATTCATTTTGCGGGCCGATTATTCATTTTGCCATTATTCATTTTGCGGGGCCATTATTCAATTTGCGGGCCGATTATCACCTTCCGGCCCAACTCTGCCGTGTATTAATCTCTTATATTTAAATCTGCAAACTTTAACCAGTCTAGTAAATTGACTGTTTATAAAAATAATTTATTTTACAAAATTCAAATGGTCGCGCGGCTGCGCCAAGCCTGACCAATTTAATGTTGTAAATACGTACACTTAAACTTTAACCTATACTAAAACTCTTGCTTGCTCTTTTAACAGAGGGAAAAATGAGACATAAATTATGTGCATTTACCATTCAGTGCAGACCAGAAATTAAGGAAGGAATCGTAAGTTGACATAGTTTGTTTAAGGGGTGGATCGAGTGCAGAAAATATTAGCTGTTTTTCTCAATAAAAATGTTCTTTGAATGACTCTTAAAAAGTATTTATCCGTGTAATAATAATCAAGTAAATTTCAAAAGTACTTAAAGTTTGACACTCCATGTTTTTTCTGCGTTCTACTGTCACTTCTAATATATGTGACTGAAAACTCGGACTGGCTAGACTGTGTCTCGCGTGAATTATTGTCTATGAGTCGCAGAAACACTCTGTGAACGGTCTTGAGGAACGGCGGTGGTTCTACATGTAACACGCCAAATCAGGCACTAAACATTATTCATCACTGTCTTTCCTCGCAGCTATGTAGCCAAATCATGACCCCATTCATAAAGCCTAAAAAGTATTTATCTTCACAATTGTTTAATGAAAATTCACAACTGTCAAATTGTAGTCATTAACATTGATAAACTGATAAACATGAGAACCTATTATGAGGTGACGTATTATAAACACTGTCCATCATCCTGAAGTGAGCAATATACAAATGTATCCTTAAAATGTGGATGGTACAAGTTTGGCCAGAAAAATGTGTACGTTCGCCATATGTGTTCATACACTAACCGCTTCGAAAATAATGTTTTTTTACAAGAACTACAAAACATTTGACAACATGCTTTATACAGATTGAAAGCATGCAAGCTGAGGCGTACGTTGCGCTTCTAATAATTTAAAATACACATTAAACCCCTTATTATACAGTCGCCACAATTTTACCTTTCTTTTGGCATTCAGGGATGGAGGTCACTGTGATGGTTCGCATTTGTGTTCACGTGATATTTCATGTTTCATCCTACTTGACAAAGCTTCTTTAGAATGTTCTCAACGGGCGTAAATTTACCTTCAAATAATTTTAGTGGATTTCAAGAAAATTTGTTTCAATTGGGTAACGTTAGCTGGTAAACATTATGTGATGAGTATTGAAAAACTGACAGATGCGATAGGCTGTACATTTAATGTTTTTACAAATTATCAAAAAAAAAAAAAAAAAAAAAAAAAAAATTCACGGGATGCTTTATTCTATGCAAGTTCAGCATAAACACCACTGCAACACTGCTGAAAGGAATAGTTATAAGATTTTGTTCTACAAACATGATTTTCTTGCGCCGTTTATAAGGACGCCAGCACAACAGGTTTGGAAATTATCGGAATAAGCTTTGGTTCCACAACAAGATTTTCTTGCGCCGCTATTAAGAACGCCAGCACAACAGGTTTGAAAACTATCGGAATAAGCTTTGGTTCCACAACAGGATTTTCTTGCGCCGCTATTAAGAACGCCGGCACAACACGTTTGAAAATTATCGGAATAAGCTTTGGTTCCACAACACGATTTTCTTGCGCCGCTATTAAGAACGCCAGCACAACAGGTCTGAGAATTATCAGCATAAGTTTTGGTTCCACAACAGGATTTTTTTGCGCCGCTATTAAGAACGCCAGCACAACACGTTTGAAAACTATCGGAATAAGCTTTGGTTCCACAACAGGATTTTCTTGCCCCATTATTTAGCACACCAGCACAACACGTTTGGAAAATATCGTCATAAGCTTTGGTCCCGCAACATAATTTTTCTTGCCCCATTATTTAGCACACCAGCACAACACGTTTGGAAATTATCGCATAAGCTTTGGTCCCGCAACATAATTTTTTCTTGCCCATTATTTAGCACACCAGCACAACACGTTTGGAAATTATCGGCATAAGCTTTGGTCCCGCAACATAATTTTCTTGCCCCATTATTTAGCACACCAGCACAACACGTTTGGAAATTATCGGCATAAGCTTTGGTCCCGCAACAATAATTTTCTTGCCCCATTATTTAGCACACCAGCACAACACGTTTGGAAATTATCGGAATAAGCTTTGGTCCCGCAACATAATTTTTTGCCCCATTATTTAGCACACCAGCACAACACGTTTGGAAATTATCGGAATAAGCTTTGGTTCCACAACATAATTTTCTTGCCCCATTATTTAGCACACCAGCACAACACGTTTGGAAATTATCGGCATAAGCTTTGGTCCCGCAACATAATTTTCTTGCCCCATTATTTAGCACACCAGCACAGCACGTTTGGAAATTATCGCATAAGCTTTGGTCCCGCAACATAATTTTCTTGCCCCCATTATTTAGCACACCAGCACAACACGTTTGGAAATTATCGGAATAAGCTTTGGTCCCGCAACATAATTTTCTTGCCCCATTATTTAGCACACCAGCACAACACGTTTGTAAACTATCAGAATAAGCTTTGGTCCCGCAACATAATTTTCTTGCCCCATTATTTAGCACACCAGCACAACACGTTTGGAAATTATCGGAATAAGCTTTGGTCCCGCAACATAATTTTCTTGCCCCATTATTTAGCACACCAGCACAACACGTTTGGAAATTATCAGAATAAGCTTTGGTCCCGCAACATAATTTTCTTGCCCCATTATTTAGCACACCAGCACAACACGTTTGTAAACTATCAGAATAAGCTTTGGTCCCGCAACATAATTTTCTTGCCCCATTATTTAGCACACCAGCACAGCAGGTTTTGACATTGATATCGTACCATCTGTTGCCACACACTGCTACAGATGCAATAAAAGACTGATTAAAGCGATTTACTATCGTCAAGACACACACACACAAAAACAACAAAAATATTAATATTTCAAGCAATTTTTAAATACATAAATCATGTATAGATTGTTTTGTTTGTGTGAAATCGGTTGAAAGCGCCAATTTTGTATTTATGTGTTTTTTGCAAACTCAGAAATAAACAGGGCACTAATAAACCAGATATATCTTATTTCATTAAAGATCCTTTAATACAATATTTTATGGTTTTATATCATAAATATGATGCTCAAATTAAAATTTATCAATATTGTAAGTTTCAAAAGCATTACATATAAAGATATTGTCGGATTTAACATTTCATGTAAATAAAGGGAGGTAATTAGAAATTTATTTTCTATAAAGTCTAAGTCAAATTTGTCAGTAAGAAGTGAATGCATATATTACTATGATTACATTTTAAGCTGCATGCCTCCAGATGTGCAAAAATATTTCGATACAATCAAACCTGAGAGAAATGTACTAAGATTTTAGGAAAAGTATAAACATTCAAAATTCTAGTAATAATTGACATGTTATGTGCGATTAATGACCGATTTATCTGTATTTATTACTATATTTCTACTGCGTTACTAACGCAGTAGTCGTTGACTTCAAACCACTTGACCCTCACCGCTGTGGGTTCGAATCCCGAAAGGGACTTTAAATTCTTTCATGTGAGGAAGCTATCCAGCTAGCTTACGGAACGTCGGTGGTTCTACTCAGGTGCCCGTTCGTGCCTTAAATAATACACGGAAGGGCACCTGAGGTCTTCCTCCGCCAGTAAAGCTGGTACGTCGCGATATGACCTAGACGTAAAACCCAAAACAAACAAACAAAACAAACGCAGTAAGGGCTACTTTTTGCATATTTTGTCCCTTTTTAGTAATTAACGTGGGTTGTAAGTACCATTGATAATGTGTTTATTGCTTCCTTTTGGTTATTTCAGTAAATAATACCTTTAAACACATTTTCAAAATTTTCATGAAAAATAGCATAAATCTTGAAGCGTGTCGCTTTAATCATAATGTACACAAATATTTGCAGTACATATTTTACATATTCTTCGATGTTTGAATATTGTTTTGTAAGCATAATTATAAACATATATAAGAGTTCACATAAGTGTGGTATACAACCTCAATTACAACATACACGATTAGTCTGAGTAACCTGGAGACTGTATTTTAGATTCTGAAAAAGTCATAGCACTGGGAAAAAAAACAGGCATCGTAAAAATTCCATTTGATGAAAGACATTACTAACATTTTTTTAGTATATAAAAATAAAAAAAAACACTCCTGGTTCTAAGTCTCGCATTTGTTAAGACTGGTGATACGATAGCCTCAACAGTCTGAAGTGGCTTGTAAATATTTGACCGACTAAGTGTACATACTAGAAGTACCATTATAAATAAAACTCGTAGTAAGATTAGATTCGAGGCCCTTTATAACCTTAACTGTGAGCCAAATAGAATTGATTTTGTTTTTATTTGTTTGGGTCGTCAGACCAAACAAATAATGGTAACGAAATTTCAGACCCTGATGTGCTTATTTTCAAAAACAAATTGTGTTACAGGATCTTTAAGCCAAATAAACATTGAATAATTATTGAATATCAGTATTGTAATTAGTCTTATAGCCAATTTACTACAGTTATAACACTGGAAATAGCATTGATGGCACTATTCAAAGACAAATTGGTTTATAGTCTTACAACCTTCAGCTTTCTGACATTCTGAGACCCACACAAATTCAGCGCCTTCTGTGCTTTGATTCCTAGATGTAACGATAATTCATTATCAACTAACCAGTTCCTAACTTATTCTAAGTCTTTGGTTAGCAAACACTCAATTTATCATTTTGCAGTTACTAAAATAGCAGCATCATCAGACTGCAGTAAATTTTTGTTTTGAACAACACCACCCATGTTATTTATATCAATTTAAAAGAACAGAGGACAAAGTATGGAGCCTTTGGATACACCACATGTTACACCAGCATATAATGATGAATGCCAGAGATATCAGTACATTGTTATAAACCTCATAAACATGAATGGAACCATCTGGCAACATCTTGACTCAAACTCAACATTTTTAATTTCTCTAAATGTAAAGTGTGGTATACAGTAACGTACAGTAGCTTTCTGCAAATCTAATGGAACCATGCAAACCATACAATAACCTTTATCTAATAATCAGACAGACGGATTAAACATGTATCTGAAAAGACCCAGATTGAAACTCATACAAATTATAGTATATTTTGTTTGCTAAAATTATTTTTAGCCGATCATAAACACTGAAACAGGTCTGTAATTCCCCAGGTCTGTTTTTTATCACTTATTAATTTAGTTTGCTACAAAGAAATGGCGATAAAGTCCGAGTATTCCAATAGCTTAGGACCTATCTATTTATAGGGAGTACTCAGGGGAGGTTATTCACTAATGTCCCTCATTGAATCGCTTATACTTGACAGTGAGCAGTACCTGACATTCTTTTGAAGAAAAAATACTTACCTGCGCTGGCTGATGTAGCGTTGATTATCAGTAGATATGCTACAATAACAAGTGTCTTCCACATGATGTAAATATTTTCCTGACTGTTATTTCTAGTCTGAAATATGAATTATATTTGTTAGTTTATTGTTAAGCTCTAATCTTCCGACTGCCTTAATATGACTACCTTAATACGTTCTGAACTCACACCTTGCGGTTTGACATAAGAAATCTAGATTTCTGTTTTTCAGGAATCCTGCAGCTGAAACATTAAAGATTTGCAGAGCTCGGTAATAAATTCTATATCCTACAAAAGCTGGAAACTACCAATGTTCTTACTGCGATAGCAAGAAAACCGTTAGATGCCCACACTGTAACGCTTATATAGAGCTTTTTCAGCTTTACTAGTGGACGACCTCAGTTGCATCTTCGTGAATAAATGCTAGACCAAGTAGACATATGTGTAGAACCACCGACCTTCCGTATGCCAACTGGATAGCTTCCGCATTAAAAAAATATTTGGCAAGAATTATAAGTATACTTTTATTGTTAGAGGAAATCGGTTTGATAAAAGAGAATGAACTTCGTGTCTTTGAAGATATAAGTGAATGAAGAAATATATAGAAACTACAAAATGAAAATCTACCTGAATTTGTTGAAGAATAATTTATCCGCTTTATCTTCGTTAATACGCCTTGCAGAAGTTTCCTTATGCTTGATTGTGTGTCACCTGCTTTAAAATGTATGTCATTCAAAGGATTGTAATTGTAGTAATTTTTGTCATGCGCAGATGATATTGCAATAACACTTTATTGTGTATTTGTAAAAACAAGGGATGGTATAGTTAATTGTTTAGATGCAATGTTGTTATTGATAGCGACAGTGTGATTTGGTTCAAATGAACATTTTTGAAGAAAAAAAAATACATATCTCATTTTCAATGCGCAATTTCTATTTTACGTATAACAGTTGATATCATCTCCTCCACTATTACTTATGTTTTAACATAATTTGTTTTAGTGATAATGCCTTCGAGTTTTTTTTAAATAAGTTGTTTACTGCACTTAACGACAAATTACATGTATCAAGTAGCCTGCCTCAGGATCCATGTTAATTTTCATGAAAAGTTTGAAAATGTATAGACAAAATAAAATATTGTCATACAAACAAAGAAAGTAATATACACATAGGAAAGGCCACTGTTCAATCCAAGTTAATTACCAAATATATCAAAATATGAAAAGGAAAGATAAGGAAAATTTTCCCTTAGAAACTAAGGAGCGTTGTGAATACGGTCTCTGGAGGCATGCCACTTTTAATATATAACTCTTTTCACTGTATGTAAGTGGCGAACGAAAACAATTTAAAGTATAAGATTTGATATGTATTGACTAGTTTTTGAGAAAACTTTAACAGGGTATTTTGAGAATATATTAAAATTATGTTTCGAGAAATGTATACAATATAAAGTTTAACAAAAAGGAACAACGAGGCTATTTAAAAACAATTGTCTCGATGTAATTCTTCAGACAATTAAAGAACATACATACTCTTATGTGTAAATATCTATAAGTTTATGTCGTCATAAAGGTTTAAAACATCATACTTTCATAGAATAAATTTCAAAACTTACAATTTTGAAAAAAATAAACGGTTTAGATGACAGCTCTTTCAACAGTTTTATGGGACCTCAAATGAGGAATATTCTTAAAGTGTAACCTGAAACTTCTTAAAACAGTTTCAAACAAACGTCCCAAAATGGATTGGGATACCAACAGATCAGCTTAAGTCATTGATAAGTGTGAGATGCATATATGTGTAAGAATCAGACAAACCTCTCAAACTAAAATGCCATTTTTAAGGGATAATCTCCTATTTGGTCAACGGCAAAAGACATTCTCTGAATACTAAAGTAAATGATTCAAACTTAATATATTTAAAGCAATTCAAAAACTGATGCAAGAAGGATTTGATAAATATTCCAACATTTATTAATTTCTTATTCACAGTTAAGTCACAGCAAAAGCCACAATTTTTAACCAGTCTGATTTACCTCCAAACCGCGTCTAAGCCTTTGATTTTCCCATGAAAAATATAAACTTATGATACCAATTGTAGTCTATGTAACCACAGAGACCAATTTATCCGCAAAAAGCCTACTTATACTATTACACTAAAAAAATTCACATAGCACAAGTGGCAATTACATATTCAAACACTCTTCATATATACAGTATATATGTTGAAGATCTGTCATGAATGTCAACTTTTTCGAATATTTATTATGATAAGGCCGCCTGTTATCAAATACAGCAGATGTTGCGGATGTGTTTTGTAAAAAAAAACATGACCTGACGTTGTCCAGTAAACTACAGACCCATGGAACACATTATTGTGCTCTATCATATATAAGCAATCACCTCAAGGACATAATCTATATCCTGCTTAATTGTGTTTAATGAGGAATGAAGGTCATTTGTGATCCACCTTGTAATACTGTAAATAATCCTTGTTTAAACAATGCTTTTGACACAGAATATCTTTAGGAAATCTTGAAAATGCATACTAGCTTACACGTCAAAACCGTTAAACTACTATAAGAGTTTCTTAGACATTCAAGTAATTTGTTGCACTTATGAAAGAACACGAATTTATACCTGTCTCCAAATGCTTTAAGTCGAACGTCCAAATTAAGTTTCTTTAAATCCTAAACGATATGATTATCCTTGAACAATGGAAATTGAATTGGAATTTGGAGTTTATCTTCTTTAAATGAAAAGTCATCAACGTTTACGTACATATACAGCGGGATACTCCATATTTCAAGAACAAGCACCATGAAGAAAAACCAAATCCAGATTAACTACACAAATGTTCATGACTCATGAATGGAAATACAATACAAGTAAGTTATTGAAATATGCGCTTATAGCTTCTTCTGTCAGCAATACAATGTATGTTACCGGTACATTAATGAGCAATAATATTTCTGTGAAAAAGATGTATCCGTTCACAGGAACTTGAAATTCTATCAAATAACCAATATTAATTATAATATCCAAATATACCCCCTATATACTATAAAGTTTTTTTATAGTATATAGGGGGTATATTTGGATATTATAATTAATATTGGTTATTTGATAGAATTTCAAGTTCCTGTGATCCGTTGCACTAAACAGAAAACCAAGTCCGAATAAAGTCAGGCTGACCAAACCTACGGTTTTGGGAAATCTAAACGAAAAACAAAGTCCGGTTTTAGACTCAGGGAATACAATCAAGCTGACCAATCCCACGGAAATAGGCTTTTTTGTATATTATTAAACGGAACGCAAAGTCCAGTTCAACCATCAGGGAATACAGTCAAGCTGAAAAAAATTCACGATTACAGGCCTTTATTTTAGTTTTAAACGAGAAAACAACTCTAGCTTCAGAGAATGCATTCAACATGTTATAGGCCTGTTTTAAGTTCTAAAAGGAACAAAAGTCCAGTTCTATCATCAGGGGATACATGAAAGCTGACAAAACTCACAATGATAGGTCTTTTTCGTAGTTCTAAACGGAAAACCAAGATCTGTTCTTGCCTCAGGGAATACAGTCCATCTGACCATACCCACGGGATATACCTTTTTGCCATTCTTAGCGGAAAACAAAGTCCAGTTCTAGCTTCAGGGAATACAGTCAAGCTGACTTAATCCACGTTGATAGGTCATTATGGAAAACCAAGTCCAGTTCTAGCCTCACGGACTGCAGTCAAGCTGATAAAAAAAAAACACGGTGATAGGCCGTTTACGTAGTTCTAAACGGAAAACCAAGTCAGGTTCTAGTCTCAGGCTGACCAAACCCACGGTGATAGGCCTTTATGGGAAATATAAACGAAAATCAGACCTTTTTATAGTTTTAAACGGAACATGAAGTCAAATTCAACCAACAAGGAATACAGTCAATCTGGAAAAAACGACGGAGACAGGTCTTTTTCGTAGTTCTAAACGGAAAACCAAGTCAAGCTGACCATACCCAAGGTGATAGTCTTTTTTCTATTTCTAATCTGAAAACCGAATCCGGTTCTATTCTCAGGGAGTACGCGCACACTGACCCACACTAACATACGGCCTCTTTTGTAGTTCTAAACGGAAAACAAAGTCCTGTTCTAGCCACAGGGAATACTGTCAAGCTGACCATACACATGGTGAAAGTCCTTTTTTCTAGTTTATTAACGGAAAACCAAGTCCAGTTCTATCCTCATATAGTACACTCACACTGGCAAAATCTACTGACCTTTTTAGTAGATCTAAACGGAATACCATATCAAGTTCTAGCCTCAGGAAATACCACGGTAATAGGCCTCTTTTGTAGTTCTAAACGGAAAACAAAGTCCGGTTCTATATAGCCTCAGGAAATACAGTCAAGCTGACCAAACCCACGGTGATAGGCCTCTTTTGTAGTTCTAAACGGAAAACAATGTCCGTTTTTGCCTCAGGGAATCTGACCAAACACACGGTGATAAGCCTTTTTAGTAATTTAAAACGGAAAACCAAGTTCATTTCTAGCCTCATGGAATACACTCTAGCTGACCATACACACGGATATAGACCTTTTTTGTAGCTCTTAACGGAAAAGGAAAGTCCAGTTCTATCCTCAGGGAGTACACTCACACTGAGCTTAATCCACGGTGTTTGACCTTTTTGTAAATATAAACGGAATACCAAGTCAGGTTCCAGCCTCAAGGAGTACAGTCATGCTGACCAAACCCACGGTGATAGTCCTCTTTTTTAGTTCTTAACGGAAAACAAAGTCCGATGCAAGCCTCAGGGAATACAGTCAAGTTGACCAAACCCACGGTGATAAGCTTTTTTTGTAATTTTAAACGGAAAACCAAGTTCATTTCCAGCCTTACGGAATACAGTCAAGCTGACCATATCCACTGTGATAGTCCTTTTTTCTAGTTCTAAACTGAAAACCAAATCCGGTTTGTATCCTCAAAGAATACTGTCAATCTGACCAAACCCACGGTGATAAACCTTTTTGTAGTTCTTAACGGAAAACCAAGTCCAGTTCTATCCTCAATGAATATACTCGCACTGACCTTATCCACGGTGTTTGACCTTTTTTGTAGTACTGAACGGAATAACAAGTCAGGTTCTAGCCTTAGGGAATACAGTCAAGCTGACCAAACCCACGGTGATACTCCTTTTAGTAATTTTTAACGGAAACAAAGTTCTTTTCAAGGTTTAGGCAATAAAGACAAGCTGACAATACCCATGGTGATAGTCCTTTTTTCTAGTTCTAAACTGAAAACCAAGTGTAATTCTATCCTAAGGCAGAACACTTACACTGACCATATCCACGGTGATTGATATATCAAGTAGTTTTAAACTGCAAACTAAGTCAAGTTCTCGCCTCAGGAAAGACAGTCAAGCTGAGCTGATCAAACCCACGGTGATATTCTAAACAGAAAATCAAGTCAAGTTCTAGCATCGGCGAATACAGTCAAGCTTATCAAACCCAAGGTGATAGGCCTTTGTAGTAGCTCTTTAGATAAACAGGAAACCAAGTCCAGTTCTCGCCTCAGGGAATACAGACAACCTGATTAAACCCACGATGATAGGCCTTTTAAGTACTTATAAATGGAGAACCAAGTCAAGGTTAGCCTCAAGGAATACAATCAGGCTGATCAAACTTAAGGTGATAGGCCTTTTAAGTTGTTGTAAACGGAAACACAAGTCAAGTTCTAGCCTCAGGGAATATAATAAGCTGACCATACCCACGGTGAAAGGTCGTTTTAGTTGTTCTAAATGGAGAACGAAGTTAAGTTCTTGCCTCAGGGAATACGGTCAAGCTGATCAAAGCCAAGATGATAGGCTTTTTTAGTTGTTGTCAACGGAAAAGCAAGTCCAGTTTTTTGTCCCAGCGAATACAATCAAGCTGATCAAACCCACGGAAATAGGCCTTTTCAGTAGTTCTAAATGGAAAACCAAGTCAAGTTTTCGCCTAATGGAATACAGTTAAGCTTATCAAACCAACGGTGATAGGCCTTTCTAGTTTTTCTAAATTGAAAACCAAGCAAAGTTCTCACCTCAGCGAAAGCGTTCAAGCAGACAAAAACCACGGTAAGAGGCCTTTTTGTAGTTCTAAACGGAAAACAAAGTCAAGTTCTCACCTCAGGGAATGCAGTCAAGCAGACAAAAACCACGGTGATAGCCATTTTTTGTAGTTCAGTAGCTCAATCAAACCGAGCCTTCAACATTTTCAATTTAGTTGGGGTTTTTGCGTTCTTTCGGGATTCTTTATTCATTTCTCATTGAACACATTACTCACCATATTACTTTTGTTGAAAAAATTTATTTCTTTTGCGTGTAGCCACGACACTGAGGATGCTGTTTCAATTTAGACTATAAATCAGTTGTTCCACATTTGGGGAAACCAGCAAACATGAAAAAGGAAGACATTGGAGCCTTTCTATATCACGGGATGCACTGTGCGCACCAAAAGTCACATTCTTTAAAATACATGGTTTCTTATTATTGAGACTTTTCAAATGAAATTTATTGCCAGATTGCAGAACCAATTTTGAATCAAGCTTTATTTAATAATTTACACAAATTCAGCTTTAAAAAATTTGTTTAATATGTGTAGCAGCATCTTCTCATTGATGGATATACAATTACACATAAAGTTTTAGACATGAAAAAACAAAAATATTCTTTTTAAAATGTAGATACTCATACAGTTTATCATGTTATTATTATCGTTTGAGCCACGTCACGACAAAACCAACATAGTGCGTTTGCGACTAGCATGGATCCAGACCAGCCTGCGCGGATGAGCCGGCTGGTCTGGATCCATGCTGGTCGCAAACACACTATGTTGGTTTTGTCTTGAAGCGGTTCATTTTTTTCTTTTTTATTTTCTATCACAAGACATATTATATTTATTATCAACACAGACACATTATTTATTCAATATTTATGTTCCTCTAAGCACATGGCATGTATCAACACATAATTGCTTGTAGCAGTAACATAACAGAGTCTGAGCAAGAAGTTTACAACATAACACATTTAAAGACATTTTAGTTTCAAGGTACTAAAACTCAGTAGCCGACAATACAGTGTTTGCCAATGTTATGTTGATGTTTTTTTCTTATTTTTTCTTACTTTTCTTCTTTTTCTGTGTATTTTTCTGAAATTTCTTTACATTTATTTTTTTATATTTTCTATTTGTCTCGTTATCATTTTCTGATGCTTTCCTCTTCCTATCATTTGTTTTAAAGTCTTCCTTTCTTACATCACTTTTATCAGTAATATTTTCCTTATCCATGTTTTTGTCTTTGTCAGAATCTACAAGGGTTGGCCTTATTCCAAAGTTAATTTGATTTTCACTTGGAATGTACATACGTTTTGTTTGCATTCTTACACCTTTTAATGTTTCAACACTTGGACTTTTACCCTCTGCCCTATCATCAAACGCTATAAAATCTTGTCCGCAGAAAGATTTTCTTTCCTTTGTTTCAGGTTTGTATATGTAGAACTTGGCCGCGCCAACAGATAGGTGTTCCAAATTACTGCCAGATTTTTCATTTTCAGTATGTACAAACACAGTATCTAGTTTCATTTCAGTTCCTAAATCTTTATCATTAATTTTTCTGCTATTTGCTATATTTGTAGGTTGTATCAATGGTTTGTTCACAGCTTTGTCTTGCTTCCCCTGTAGTTTTGTCAGTGGTGGTGCATGTTTTCTAACTATTTCAATGAGCTCATGGAAATCATTGGGCACTTCAGTTTTCTGCAAGTAAAACATACATAATAATGTTGAAATTCATCTTTGCTTCATAAATACGACATTTTCGTTGCTAAACCTACAAAAGTACATTTAGTAAACAAACAAACAAGAGGGTCATGATAGCCCTTGACATCTCACCCGAGATTCATTGCAAGAAAAGTTCTCATTCTTCAATGCAAAAATCCGTAATAAGGTCACATAAGATGTCTATTTTGAACCATAATGTGTCAATTTTAAACCATTTGTAGCTAATCTAAGCTATATTAATTATGGTTCCATACAAGACTTATGTCTTCCTATATTAGTGTACATCAAGCTAAGAAGCACTACAGGGGATGGATAAGCAATCTTCACTTCAGGGGCATGATTTATATAACATACAATTGTATAGGATAACAAAATTATGCTATAAGCAAAATATCTAAGCTCTGGGCATTGTGTAATGGAGAATTATTTTTAAATACATTGTATATTTTACTGAACAAATCTACGAAAAATAAGGTGGGGCCAATTTTGATTCAGTTAGTGGCATGACTTATTTCACTTTTGTAAATAAGGTCCACTATGCAATACTATTATACTACATGCCAAATATCTAATCTCTGGGCAATGCAGTTTCACATTAAATGGGCAATGCAGTTTCACATTAAAGAGATCTGAAAGGACACCACTGAGGTCCAAAAACCTAAAAACATAAAATGTGAATTTCTTTCATAATTCAGCTGAGGCACTTGAAACAGCACAAGATAATTCAGAAATATAATCGGAAATGTACTGAAAATCATATCTTTTGTTAATTTTAGCAGGAGTTGAGTGAAAAGTACTTTTTTATATCTTACCATTATTCACAAACAGGAAAAATTGATAAAGAAATGCCAATTAATGAAGTGAAATTTTGCACACAAGTCAATAGCCTGTACCAACATCAAATGGAACATTTATCTCAAAAATATTATACATAAGCAGATAAATTGTTATTAAGGCACTTTTGATTTAGTAATGATTCTAATGAACATGTACTAGATACTACTTATGTCTGGGTACTTCATAAAGTGCATGAATTCCTTTTTACCTGCCTTTTTTCAGTGTTTTATGACACAAACAGGTTTTGTCATTACAACATTAATACAAGAGGAAATTTTTCTATTTACCAGAACACCAAGACTGGTAGCTGAAGTGAGGCCAGGCCAGGACTTTTGTATAGGTACCAGCAGATCTGACACACACATTGCTGGGCAACCATGCTCATTAAGCAGGTGGCAAAGAGCTTTCCTTAGCACAGCAGGTTGCATATCTTTCCATAGCAACACCATAGACAAATTGTCTTTCTCCAGATTTCTCATAACTGTCTGTACACCCATTACAAATGTACACCTGAAAATTACAATATTTTATGTTTTATCCTATAATGCACATGTGCAGTCTTTTCCCTTAATTTACTAGGAAGGTTTGTTTTGTTTAGTTTTATGGCGCACCAGCATTATTAAGGTAATATGGAGCCGAAACACGAAAGATGACTTTGGCTAACTTCAGGTGTTACTAATTTAAAGCAACACCAGGGATCAAAACCACCTCATCTGCTGGAGCTAAGAGATTGTATATACTTCAGTAATTCTAAACACATTAAGTTGCCTTTTAGGATTACTCAGGGATAAACAGTGGCTGCAATTCTGATGCCATCACCCCTAGAGGAAACCCTTCAGCAACAATGGGTAACTTAAGAGTAAACTAATTTGTATAAAACAAACATCTGTTCTTGTCTGTGGCAAGCTACAGTCTGCTATTTTTTATCATACATCTCATCCTATAAGGTTCATTTAATTAAGTGCAACCCTCAAGTCTTACATTATCAAAATACCCATATCAGTTACAAAAAATGTAAACATATATTAAAAAATAATAAAAACAAAAATAATGTATCTGTTAAATCATTTAATGATTTATTCAAGTATTATTTTGTTGAAGTTAAGTCTGGCCGTACTAACACAAAGAAATCCACTGAAAAATTCCAGTTGATTTAGTTATAAAAATTTACGGCAATTATATTGATGGTATAAAAATTAAGTGATAAAGCTCAGACAACATACTTGAAATCTTTCTTTTGTTTTTCTTCCTCTTTTGACAAACAATCCCCTGTATCCCCCACACCTTTCTTCTTCCATTTCGGAGGTTTCTGTATTGTCCTTAAGCATGACTTGTACTTTGTAAACACACTGCAAGTGAAAAAAAATAATCTTTTAACATCATCCATTATTCATCTTTTATTTTGACAAATTCGGAATAACAATGTCAAGTAATATCATCATGATCTTGGCCACAAAGAAAGGTTATAAAACTGTTGTATCAGATGGGGTATTTTTTTACTTGTAGTGGATAAAGTAATACTGACACTGTATGGTGACATTCAATCCATGAATTATCTTAGGCAGCTGTATAAGAACATCAATCTTTCATAAGATACCGGGACATAGTTTTTTTTACATGAAGTATTAAAAGACTTTGTGAGGAGCATGCAACACCCATACAGGACCTTTTGTTGTAGCCCTCCCAATATTTGAAACAAGTTTCAAATATAAAACACTAATTCCTAAGCATACAGGGGACACAATGCCTATGAGTCTATGACATCTAATGGCAAACAATGTTAATGACTCTTAAAGGTCTAAATTTGTGCACAGATGAGCTAACAAAATATAATATACTTTGGTTTCTCCCACAATGTCTGACAGGTTTGGGTAACATACAATAATGCATGCTTGATGTATTACACAGGCCAGTCAATAAATTCAAAGTATTAAATACAGAAACGGATTTATATATTTCTTCCACTTAAAAAATGACTGTTTTTACTAAAAAATTATAGGTTAATAATTCAGACTTGCATTTGACCCAAGTCATACAAGGTTGTAATTTTAAAAAAGTGTCTAAAATATAATAAAAAAAACCTCACTTTTCTAAAACATTTAACACTGTCTCCTCTTTGTCACTATCAACAACAGGCCTGAAATATAAAAAGATGTATAATAAATTGTATATCACATATAAAATAATGCATTAGATCTATGTATGCTGGCATAGGTTTTAGAGTAAATCAGGGTGACTACATACTATTTTTAAAGTATAAGAAAGGGGACAAATACCTTTTGACATTTGAGCTGAAAGTATAACCTTGACCTTGAAGGTATGAACATGGTCTTACATTATTTGTACAGATTTTTTTTTTACAAATACCATCATGTTCACCTTATATAGAAGTAACAGACCCTACCGGCTACAGACTAAAGACTTTAATGAAACTTAACTCTTGATCTACAGACTAAAAACTTATATGCCAAAGACCATCTTCATATAGCGATCAAGTGTAACAATTAATTTTGAAATCCCTGAATGCATGCAGAAATTATGGCCCCAACACAAACTTAAACAGCACTTTAGACTATCGGACAAATACACTACTTCTTGTTCTGACCTTGTCTTTAAAGCTGCATGCCTCCAGATGACCCAAAATATTTCAAGAAAGTTAAACTTGGAAAAACCATACTAAAACTTTGAGAAAGGTGAACAAATTAAAGATTCAAGTGATAATTTATATCTTATGTGCAATTAATGACTGTATTTTGTAGTATTTATCACCATATTTCTACTGCGTTACTAACGCAGTAGGGGCTATTTATGCATATTTTGACCTCTTTTTGGTAATTTACGTTGATTTTAAGTGCTGATTGTAATGTGTCAAGTACTTTCTTTGTTCATTTCACAATATTTTACCTTTAAATACATTTTCAAAATTTTCATGAAAATTAGGATGAATCTGGAGGCGTGCTGCTTTAATGTCTTTATATTGACACAAACATGTATATCTGAGGCCTGTCGTTGAGGGTATAAAAATTACCTAAATTGTCCACACTACAGTAACATGTCCAGACAAATGTGTACATGGCATGATTTAATTCAGATAAAATCTTGGGTGTTTTAATGTTTTATTTTTAACATGATATACAATATTTGAGCAGCAAATGCTGAAGTTTTGGATATTCTATTGTTTACTCTGCAACTGATTATATCTGGTATATGAAGTCAGGTACGTGTATTGCACTCTTGATGCCCAAAGTTTCAACGTCAACATTCTTGAAATAGACATTAGAATAATATTACCATTTATGGGAGTTAAAACTAGAACTGCCACTTTCATGGCGTGAATATCCCCCCTATCCACTTTGTCAGAAAACAGTGGTCATTTAGAGCTCAAGGACAACCTCCCAGACAAATCTGAGGGAAGTAAGCCAGTGCATTGCTAAGTTATGTATTCTACATGTTTTTAGTGGCAAAGATCAAAAAGACCTTTACCTTTGACCTACTGACCTCAAAACTGAAACTGTCACTGAATGACATCAATACCCGTCTCCCCCCCCCCACTCCCCATTCATGCAGCTTTGCCTGGAGGTGTTTTATGATGAATATATGAGAAAATAATTTTATGCTTCAAATGTGAAAATACACTGTGGAGAGGCATTCTTAAGCATTTGAGAAGAAAAGCTTACTGTAATAAAAGCCCCTATGACCTTGGCCTTTGACAGTCACCTAAACATCAATAGGGGTCATCTAATAGTCATAACCATCCTCAGTACTAAATATGAAGACTGTTGACCAAAGCATTCTTATGCAATTGAGCGGAAAAGATTTTTGTACTCAAGGCCCCTGTGACCTTGACCTTTGACCCATTGACTTAAAAATCTGTAGGGGTCACTCAATGGTCATGCATGATCAACCTCCATGCCGAATATAAAGACTGTGGATCAAAGGATTCTTAAGTTATTGGGCGCATAAGCTTTCTTTAGCCAGGGCCCTTCTCACCTTGACCTTTGGACCTCAAAATCAATAGAGGCCATCTACTAGTCATAATCAACCTCATACCAAATATGAAGTCTGTTGACCAAAGCATTCTTAGGTAATTGAGCGGACAAGCTTTTTGAAGTTAAGGCACCAGTGACCTTGACCTTTGACCAAGTGACCTCAAAATCAACATGGGTCACAAATGGACATGACTAACCTCCATGCCAAATATCAAAACTGTGGGTCAAAGGATTCTTAGGTAATTGGGAGGACAAGCTTTTATTAGTCAAGGCCCCTGTGACCTAGACCTTTGGCAATCTGCTGGATTAGACCCCTATGTATTTTTCAGGTCTAAAACTTGTATATAATACACTAAAGAAAACGGAATGAACCTTATATATACTCCTGGTTTAGACCCTGGGATCAAATCCAGGATGTAGCCAGACCTTTGGCCTTAAAATAATTAAGGGTCATCTACTAATCATGACTAACCTCCATGCCAAATATGAAGACTGTGGGTCAAAGGATTCTTAAGTAATTAGGCGGACAAGCTTTTCAGTCAAGGCCTGTGTCCTTGACCTTTGATCCCTGTGACCTTGACGGGACCTGGTGACCTCAAAATCAATAGGGGTCATCTAGTAATCATGACTAACTTGCATGCCAAATATTAAGACTGTGAGTCAAAGGTGTCTTAAGTTATTGGGAGGACAAGCTTTTATCAGTCAAGTTGTAGTTCTTTTTAACTTGCTTTAACCTTGTGTCTATCAATTTGCACTTAACATATTTGTTTTAACAGCTATCCCCAGACAATGCACATGCTTAGTGTAATCGATTACGATTTTGAAGCAATAATGTAGATGTATACAACATTTACCTTTACCTTACCTTTACCTTCTCCTTCTTCTGAGCATTTAAGCCAAGATGGCTTGTAAGCTCCTCCTATACAGTATTATCAAGTTAACTTCAGTAAATGTCACTTGTATTAAATCTTTGACTTTGCCAGCTCCGGTCGAGTAAAGTTTTAAATGTCAAAACACTTTCACTGAGAACAATGTTTTTCATCTAGGTTATTCCACTGGTCAATGCATCTAATAGGGAAATGAATTTTTCCTTAGTGTTTTATTCACACTTGGTTTAAAAGTTGGAATATATGTCCACGTGTACAGTTATCATTGAACACAAAAAATTTATCCGGGTCAACATTATCAAACCCATTAATTATTTTATAAATTTGAATGAGGTCAAATCGTTGTCTACGATATAAAAGTGTTGGCAAATTAAGCCTAACAAGTCTTTGTTCATAGGACAAACCTTTCAATGATGGAATAATTCTAGTTGCCCTTCTTTGAATATTTTCAATCAATTGAATGTTTTTCTTTGTAGATGGAAAATAAACAGAAGATCCATAGTCAACAATTGATCTTATCAGACTTTTGTAAACAGTCAAACATAGGTATTGTCATGCAGGAAAAACTTCTCTTTATTAAACCCGTTAATTTCTTTGTACGGTTTACAGTATTTAAGACATGTTGATCAAATTTAAGATTATCTTGGAATGTGATGCCGAGATCCTTCTCACTATCAACTTTAGGTAAAGAGATATTTTGACTATTAGAGTCTTTTCATTTCGTAGATATATGGAAGCTTGACGTTACCAATCTGCATTGATTTACATTTAGGAATGGAAAATTGAAGCAGCCAGTCCTCTGACCAGTCACATAAACGTAGTAAGTCTTGTTGAAGTAACAACTGATCGTTTTGAGAATAAATCTTCCTGTATAATTTGCTATCATCAGCAAATAATTTACATGTAGACTGAACAACTTCAGGCAAATCATTTATGTAAATGATAAATAAAACTGGACCAAGGACCGAACCTTGCGGAACTCCTGACGTGATATTAGACCAAGTAGAAAAACTATCTTCAACACAAACCCTTTGTCTCCTATTAGTGAGAAAAAATTTTGTATCCAATTCAGTTATGGGATTGTCAATACCATAGTTCTTTAACTTCAAAAGTAAACGATTTGTGAGGTATAGTATCAAAAAGCTTTTTTAATGTCCAAAAAAATTGAGTCTACTTGACAACTGTCATCAAAAGCTTTAGTCCAATCTTCTAAAACAGTCAGAAGTTGAAGAATACAATTCCTTTTGTTTCTGAAGCCAAATTGGTCATCCGAGAAAAGGTTATTTATATTCATGTGTTGCATTAGGGTGTCACGAACAGTTTTTTTCACACATTTTACATGTTTATTGAAGTTAGAGAGATAGGGCGATAATTTGAAGGATCACATTTATCACCCTTGCTTTTGTACAAAGCTTTAACATTAGCTTCTTTCCAAGCATCTGGTAAATCACCATTCTTAAAGGTTTTATTCATTATCCTACATAAAGGATCACATAAAACAGCTGCAGATTCTCGTAATAAATAAGGATGAAGACCGTCATTGCCCATGGATTTGGAGACATTAAGATGACGAAGTCTTTGAAAAACAGTGTCTTTATCAACTACAAGTTCAGAAATAGGACTACCATGATACTTCAAGTCAAAATTTGGTAAGTTACCTCCTGGCTCATTAATGAATACAGACATAAAGAAATCATTCAAAAGTTCAGCTTTACCTAGGTTATTTTTCACAAAATCATTACCTAGGTAAAGCTGAACTTTTGAATGATTTCTTTATGTCTGTATTCATTAATGAGCCAGGAGGTAACTTACCAAATTTTGACTTGAAGTATCATGGTAGTCCTATTTCTGAACTTGTAGTTGATAAAGACACTGTTTTTCAAAGACTTCGTCATCTTAATGTCTCCAAATCCATGGGCAATGACGGTCTTCATCCTTATTTATTACGAGAATCTGCAGCTGTTTTATGTGATCCTTTATGTAGGATAATGAATAAAACCTTTAAGAATGGTGATTTACCAGATGCTTGGAAAGAAGCTAATGTTAAAGCTTTGTACAAAAGCAAGGGTGATAAATGTGATCCTTCAAATTATCGCCCTATGTATAAACAGAAAGAAAAATAATTGGTTACTGTCACTTTTGTGAGTATTATTTCCACTTTTTCATGTTTATATAACACATAATTTTTCAAGTCCTTAAAAATATGATCTATCACTATTAATAGACTGTACAAACCATTGTAATTCTGTTGGATCAGCAACTTTTGGTCGGTAGCTCATTTTTAATTTTTTTGCTAAAAATCAAAACGAAAGCGGAAGCGGAAAATACAAACAACAACAACAATAACAATAAGGGATTCTCATATCGAGTAATTCCCGGTCTCTCCCGGTCTATTTTGACCGGAATTTTCTAGAGACCGGCGAATAGGCCATATATTGTCCGGTTTCTCCCGGTTTTGAAGTAGATATTTTATTTGAAATCGTAACAAATCAGTTTTTGTTCTTTCAAAATTGAATGTTTGTCACTTAGTTTGGTTACAATAATTAATTGAGACAGATCATCTCTCAAATTTATGTATTTATTTTAATTATTATTTTACAAAAACTTTCAACTCTAAAACGCTTTTCATATTATTTATGTCTGATAAAAACAATAAATACATACAATTATTGTATATAAAGGTACATTTTTATGGTATTATTTATGAGACAATCAACGTTGAAACATTTTATTTAACTTGTTATTCACTTCTAGAAAAGAGATATTCTAAGCTACAAATTACATTTTCTGAACTTTTAATTGATCGGTTTTTTTTTTAAGTAAAATAAATGGTTTTAGAATAATGAATATTATATATTGGAAGATTAATCATAATTTACTGACTTTTTCCAGTTAATTTTAGGATCATTATCGTCGGTCAATATGACAATTGAATTTTTAAAATTGATACATGTATAATAAAAAATAGTAATAAACGTAATAACCCAGTATTAAAAAAGCATAAAAAATACAAAATGTGAAAAAAAAATCATAAAAGATGAAGAAAAAGACATATTAAAACAGATATTACAATTACTGTATAATAAAACAATTTTGCTCAACATGGTAATTTAATCAGTCTCATAATTTTACTATGTGTGAACAGATACCTCAAAATATTTAATAATGGGGACTTCGCTAATAATAAGGACAATAAACAAGTGTGGTGCTGATCATGCGTTACACAAAAAGATTATAAATCATTGCCCATTGCCATTGATAATCACGAGATTACATTGATGAACATAAAAAAACTAACAATTATAACTATGAATTAACATGTTATAATTTTAAAAAAAGATGACTGTTGAATATTTTTTGCAAAATCGGCATGAAATATCACCAATCATTTATAACTTAAGTACAATTTCATTGACAATTACACAAAAACCAGGGGCGGATACAGAACATGGTTTCCTGGGGGGGGGGGGGGGGGGCTGACATATGGGTGGAAGATTTTGACAAAAATAATGCTACAGACAAAAATGGGCTTTTTTTGAATATTGAGCAAGCATCACCTCAAAATGTAATTGTTGGTTTTATAGCTCATCCTATGAGTGGCGATGTACTCTGCTTATATATGTGTACACTAATGATTTTGTAAATATAAGATGATATGGAATTAAGAAAATATGTGTAATTGGGGTGGGCCTGGGAGGGGTGTCCCCTCCCATAGACTGAGAAATTTTGAAATGTGAGGTTGAAAAAGGTGTTATTTCCTTGACTTTCTAGTGCTGTATATGGTACCTTTTGTATTCTATATTATATAGGTTAGTGTTTGCAGCCGGTCTTTCAAAAAGAATTCCCCTAGTGTTTAGTAGTGAGCATTTACAAAATAACAGCACACTTACCAATGTATGCACAATGTTGATAAAAATAAATTCAAACACTTGATCAATTTACTCATCTGAATAATAGACGGTTTTCCAAAGTAAAGTGATATTAAAATATTGCCTTCCTAATGTACAAAAAAAAATAATTTCGGCACTGACCGGGCCATTAAATGTGATACTTTTCGCCGGTCTCTCGTAAATTCCGGTCAAAATAGACCGGGAGAGACCGGAGACCAGAAGCGACCGGATCGGAGAATAGTACATCAACAACCCCACGAAGCGAAAATTAAAGTTTTAATTTCACTATTTCCTTTAAAAATAATAAATTGAATGAAAAATTCGCTGCAGCTAGACAAATAAATTAGTGTAATTTTGATATTTCTTATAATTGAAGGTAATGACAAACTCCTCATTTTTTGTATTTATCATTCAATACAAATTATCCGGTCAACTCGTCCCGTGGTCAACTCGTCCATGGTCAACTCGTCCTCGTCCTCTAATTTTGGTAAACTTGTTCTCAAAGAGTCAACTCGTCCTCAAAGAGTCAAGTTGTCCCTAATATGGTCAACTCGTCCCCAACTTTTAATTAACTCGACACTATTATGCTATAAATCAATGTCTTTAAATAGTTATTTTATGTAAAATCTTAGTGAATTTGATAGAAATCGAATTATTAGTAAAATAACATCTTTTTCGTGCATTTTAATGTTCATTATCTAAGCGCATGTGCATAGTTTTGAAGTGAAACTACAAAGACAGGTAAGTTTGCAAACATTCAACCAAGTACAACTTGAATCAATGTTATCTTGAAACATGTATGTATGTATTATTGTTAGTTTATATGTTTTCAGATGGAAAAAGCAGTCAAATTATATAAAGAGCTGATAAAATATTCAGAAACAAATAGTGCTGTGATTGGCAGAGGTAACAGAGCAGGGCCAGTTATTGTTAACACTGTTCAGTCTCAAAGGGACCTTGATCGGGCAGAGAAAATCAAGTTTTCCAAAACATATTGTGTTGACATACAAGTAGACAAGAAATGTAGGGTGTTGTACAGATCCAGCCCACAAGAATTGAATAATGAGTATGTAATACTTATTTTTTGTATGTTTTTAAAAATATTGATTGAAAATACATGTAAATATTAAAAATCATGAAAGTTTATTATATTATACTACAGAAAATTTCTTATATAACATAACCTATGCGCTATAGTATTATCAAATCATAGCAAAATGTACAAATACATTTTCAAAGTGGGATTAAAAAAGAAATTTGAAACATTTTGCTCATAGTTTGTTCAGTATCTATGTTGACTATGTCTTTCATTTTTCTATTTACAAGTATTCATTTTGAATGATGAATTTTGATAGTCTTTAGAAAAGCCTTATGCCAGTAAAGTTAATATGCTGTTAAAGCCTTACACCAATAAAGTCATATTCCAGTCAAGCCAATATGCTAGTAAAGCCTTATGCCAGTTAAGCCACTATTCAAGTGAAGCCCTATGCCAGTAAAGCCAATATCCTTTCGACGGCCATAGCGTAATAAAACGTACCGAAAAATCGACTTCTCAAAAGCTGGGCGCTTATAATAGTCATAAGAAGGCTATAACGTAATAAACCGGTATAAAATTTTAGCTTCCTGAAAGCCACTACTGTTTGTCGTAGGAAGGCCAACAAAATTTAGTTTTAAATGACTAAATTCTTGAAGTTTACCTTTCATTTATTTCATTCTGTTAAATGTTGTTCAAATAAAAACACCAAATTTGTTAATTGTATAGTGCCCTTCATTGACAGATATAGTAAATGTTTATATATACAGTACACTATTTGATTAATGAGGTAATCAAATCGATATCAAAGTTAAATAAAGAAAATCTTCTAAATGGTATAGTATTTTAAAATGCATTTATTCATACATCAAACAGAGTTTCTGTAAGCAGTTCTCTTATTTGAAACAAAAATAAGTTGAACTTACTAAATTCACGTTGAAAAGCATAGTATCAATCACCCTTCCTGAAAAAAATTGATTTTCATTGATTTTCAATAATTACTTTTTAAAACGTTGTGGACGTTTTTCTCAACTGGGCTATATCGGTAAATAACGTAAAATTTACCGTTTTAAAACGTTCAGAACTTGTTTTGAAAAACGAGGATTGTGAGTCTGTTTATTGCAGTTGAACGTAATATTAACAGTGTTATACGGTATGGCTTTGTTGTTTATCGTATCCAGTTGAACAGCCATAGCGTAATATTTTGATTTTTCATAAACACATTTAAAAACCAGAATGTACGAAAACGAGGTTTTTACGGGTTTGCATGACACAAAATTCAAGTTTTACGCTGATTTACACTACGGTTTCTAGAAAGGTATATTTTTGATACGTTTAACTACGCTATGGACGTCTGTCGTAAAATAAGACTGGCTTTCAGAAATGTAAAAATTCGATACGTTTTCTTACGCTTTGGCCATCCTACGGGTATAGCAGATGGCCGTCGAAAGGATATGCCGGTAAAATCTTACACCAATAAAGTCATATTCCAGTAATGCCTCATATCAGTAGAGCAAATATGCCAGTAAAGCCAATATGCTAGTAAAGCCTTATGCCAGTAAAGCTAAAATGCCAGTAAAGCTAATGTGCCAGAAAAGCCAATATGTCAGTAAAGAAGATATGTCAGTAAAGCAAATACCCGGTATGTCAGTAAACCTAATATGCCAGTAAAGCAAATATGTCAGTAAAGCCAATATGTCAGTAAAGCCAAAATGCCAGTAAAGCCAATATGCCAGTAAAGCCAATATGTCAGTAAAGCCAATATGTCAGTAAAGCCAATATGTCAGTAAAGCCAATATGTCAGTAAAGCCAATATGCCAGTAAAGCCAATATGCCAGTAAAGCCAATATGCCAGTAAAGCCAATATGTCAGTAAAGCCAATATGCCAGTAAAGCCAATATGTCAGTAAAACCAATATGTCAGTAAAGCCAATATGCCAGTAAAGCCTTATGCCAAAGAAGTATTGTGCAAGTAAAGCCTTATTCCAGTAAAGGCTAATGCAAGTAAAGCCTTATATGCAAGACAGTATGACATTATATAGTACATATTTTAAGAATGGCATTTTCATCATGGCTACTGTTGCAAAATTTGCCAGGGTCCAATGATTCTCACAATACAAACATATTAAGATTTATATTTATTTTGTCGCCTAGCAAAGTGAGTATACACTTGTATATATTTATATTTTAGACTGTGGAACATACCATCAAGGTCAGGAAAGTACAAGGCCATTGTTAGGAAAGTACTGGACAAAAAGAAGGAAGAAAAACATTATTTAGAGGTCAGTGCTTAGATTACTGTCTAAAGTAGTGATAGCATTTTAAGGAAATTACAGCAAGCTCTGCAATATATACATAAATATTCATTTAAAAACACATTTAAATTTTATATTATAAAATAATTGAATTGTTCTCTATAATAATTAATGCCTGCATGGTTTGCATGTACATGTATTTTCTAATACTTTACACGGTAATGTTACTATACATTGTATCATCTGTTTTAACACTTGTTTATTGTTAAAAGAAGTGTTTTACCAGTTTCAAGTACTATAAGTGAGTACAGTCATTACTGTAAATCGCAATATAAGTGGCAGTACATTTTCCTTTTCAGGATTTTTCTCGATTGACAAATTTACAAAATTTCTGAAGAAGTATCAGAATGACATCAGAATACAATTTTTTTGATTATATTGTTGTAACAGTTGTTATAAATTATAGATACATGTATATTATTACTAATAAAGATTGTTGACAGGTTATATGACCATATAAACAGCTATTTGTAAATATAACCAGAGCCACTAGACGAGGGTTATATTGCAAACAGCTGCTTATACACCGCCGTTTTACCTATCAACAATCTTTATAACAAATTTATAATACAGCAAGCATCATTTTTTAGAGAAAAAAGTAAGATTTCTTCATGAATCGACAACATCCGTGTATATAAAACTATATAAACGTCACGATTATCCAATGAGAAGCAACGTTACAAACATGCTGTATTATAATACTATAACATTATGTTTGTTGACTCTGTAGATCTTAACTTCAGTTATATTTCAGATCTGGAGTGATAGTATCAAGCTTGAATGTTTCGATGTCTCGGCCTCAGAGAAAACTGGAAAAATTTACGATAATGATGGTAAGTGATATAAATATGTGCTGAATTTAAAGGTCCTGTAACACAATTTTTTTATGGTTTTATATCATAAATGTGATGCTCAACTTAAGATTTATCAATATTGTAAGTTCCAGAAAGTATTATTTTATAAAGATATTATGGAATTTAACATTTCATGGAAATAAAAGGACGTAATTAGAAATTTATTTTCTATAAAGTCTATGTCAATGCGTATATTTTGATTATTACATATAATGTTCACAAATATTTGCAGTACATATTTTACATATTCTTTGATATTTAAAAATTGTTTTATCAGCATAATTATATTCATATATAAAATTTCACTTAAGTGTGGTAACAACCTCAATAACAACATACAGGCTCTTTAAAAGAGTTAGTTTAAATATATTTATTTAAGTTTAATGGAAAACTTAGCTTTTTTAACTATTAGATATACATTGTAGCAATTTCAAGTGTACTTCCTGGAACAAATAAGTACTGATATTGTTTTGGGAAATATTCTCATGACTCATGTAGAGACACACACTTTAACAACTAGGTCACAGCTCTCATACTGATAAAGTTCATTGTAAATATGTCATTGCTGACTAATAGGCAAGCCATTTACAGTGCTAGCATTTACAACCTTAACAAAATGAAAATCTGAAATATATTATCTAGGTCCATTTTTTGGAAGAGTCCATAATAAAAGTTTTAGTATATAAAGATGAGAATTTAAAGTTGGTTAGGCAATGCTAGAGAGCCTGGTCAGATTGTATTGAGTGGCAAGTTACTGGAGTCTCCAGCAGGGTAATAGTTGAAGGGTTAAAGTTGGTAAGGCAACAGTAGAGAGCCTGGTCAGACAGTATTGAGAGGCTAGTTACTGGAGTCTCCAGCAGGGTAATGGTTGAAGGGTCAAAGTTGGTAAGGCAACAGTAGAGAGCCTGGTCAGACAGTATTGAGAGGCTAGTTACTGGAGTCTCCAGCAGGGTAATGGTTGAAGGGTCAAAGTTGGTAAGGCAACAGTAGAGAGCCTGGTCAGACAGTATTGAGAGGCTAGTTACTGGAGGCTCCAGCAGGGTAATGGTTGAAGGGTCAAAGTTGGTAAGGCAACAGTAGAGAGCCTGGTCAGACAGTATTGAGAGGCTAAGTTACTGGAGGCTCCAGCAGGGTAATGGTTGAAGGGTAAAAGTTGGTAAGGCAACAGTAGAGAGCCTGGTCAGACAGTATTGAGAGGCTAGTTACAGGAGGCTCCAGCAGGGTAATGGTTGAAGGGTAAAAGTTGGTAAGGCAACAGTAGAGAGCCTGGTCAGACTGTATTGAGAGGCTAGTTACTGGAGGCTCCAGCAGGGTAATGGTTGAAGGGTAAAAAGTTGGTAAGGCAACAGTAGAGAGCCTGGTCAGACTGTATTGAGAGGTTAGTTACTGGAGGCTCCAGCAGGGTAATGGTTGAAGGGTAAAAGTTGGTAAAGGCAACAGTAGAGAGCCTGGTCAGACAGTATTGAGTGGCAAGTTACTGGAGGCTCCAGCAGGGTAATGGTTGAAGGGTAAAAGTTGGTAAGGCAACAGTAGAGAGCCTGGTCAGACTGTATTGAGAGGCTAGTTACTGGAGGCTCCAGCAGGGTAAGGGTTGAAGGGTAAAAGTTGGTAAGGCAACAGTAGAGAGCCTGGTCAGACAGTATTGAGAGGCTAGTTACTGGGCTCCAGCAGGGTAATGGTTGAAGGGTTAAAGTTGGTTAGGCAACGCTAGAGAGTCTGGTCAGACTGTATTGAGAAGCTAGTTTCTGGAGACCCAAGCAGGGTAATGTTTGAAGGGTTAAAGTTGGTAAAGTTGGTAAGGCAACACTAGAGAGCCTAATCAGACTGTATTGAGAGGCTAGTTACTGGAGGCTCAAGCAGGGTAATGGTTGAAAGGTTAAAGTTGGTTAGGCAACACTAGAGAGCCTGGTCAGACTGTATTGAGAGGCTAGTTACTGGAGGCTCCAGCAGGGTAATGGTTGAAGGGGTTAAAGTTGGTTAGGCAACAGTAGAGAGCCTGGTCAGACTGTATTGAGAGGCTAGTTACTGGAGGCTCCAGCAGGGTAATGGTTTAAGGGTTAAAGTTGGTAAGGCAACAGTAGAGAGCCTGGTCAGACAGTATTGAGTGGCAAGTTACTGGAGGCCCAAGCAGGTAAGGGTTGAAGGGTTAAAGTTGGTAAGGCAACAGTAGTTGAGCCTGGTCAGACTGTATTGAGAGGCTAGTTACTGGAGGCTCCAGCAGGGTAATGGTTTAAGGGTTAAAGTTGGTAAGGCAACAGTAGAGAGCCTGGTCAGACAGTATTGAGTGGCAAGTTACTGGAGGCTCCAGCAGGGAAAGGGTTAAAGTTGGTAAGGCAACAGTAGAGAGCCTGGTCAGACTGTATTGAGAGGCTAGTTACTGGAGGCTCCAGCAGGGTAATGGTTTAAGGGTTAAAGTTGGTAAGGCAACAGTAGAGAGCCTGGTCAGACAGTATTGAGTGGCAAGTTACTGGAGGCCCAAGCAGGGTAAGGGTTGAAGGGTTAAAGTTGGTAAGGCAACAGTAGTGAGCCTGGTCAGACTGTATTGAGAGGCTAGTTACTGGAGGCTCCAGCAGGGTAATGGTTTAAGGGTTAAAGTTGGTAAGGCAACAGTAGAGAGCCTGGTCAGACAGTATTGAGTGGCAAGTTACTGGAGGCTCCAGCAGGGAAAGGGTTAAAGTTGGTAAGGCAACAGTAGAGAGCCTGGTCAGACTGTATTGAGAGGCTAGTTACTGGAGGCTCCAGCAGGGTAATGGTTTAAGGGTTAAAGTTGGTAAGGCAACAGAAGAGAGCCTGGTCAGACAGTATTGAGTGGCAAGTTACTGGAGGCCCAAGCAGGGTAAGGGTTGAAGGGTTAAAGTTGGTAAGGCAACAGTAGAGAGCCTGGTCAGACTGTATTGAGAGGCTAGTTACTGGAGGCTCCAGCAGGGTAATGGTTTAAGGGTTAAAGTTGGTTAGGCAACACTAGCCAGCCTGGTCTGTGAGACTGTATTAAGAGGCTTGTTACTGGAGGCCCCAGCAGGGTAAGGGTAGAGGGATTAAAGTACAGTACATTGTTGTATGTTATCTTTTCAGGATATTTTGGCTGCCTTGAGTGGACAGCTAAGGAAGACAGAATATTGTATACAGCAGAGAAGAAATATAAGAAAGCTGTTTCATATTTCACTAAATCTAGTGAATCGGATGATAAACCGGATCAAACTGAACCTGTAAGACCTTACTTTGATTTTTCTGATAAATTCTCGTTTTTCAATAAAATCACTAGTAGTTTATAAGTCAATTAGAAAAATGATGTGCTTTTATGTCCAAATAATTACATCTACGTACTGCACATAGTGTTCAAACTCCACAAAGATATTGAAATAAAAGTTGAACTGCAAACCAATGTGACATCCATTTGCTGTTTACAAGTTAAGCAATTGCTTTTAACACACATAAGATAAATAAATTGTCGAGCCTTTTTAGTTCGTTGTGCTAGTTTGAAACAGTATCTAGAAACTACATGTATATAAAAAAAAAACACTATGCTCAAATTATTATTTAGTGTAAGTATTAAATTTAAAGAAATACTGTAACTGTAAAAACAGTATTGTTCAGATGTGCATAGATTTTTATTTGATGTCATTTGCGTTATACAAACATTGTGTAAAGACACGCTGAATGTTCGTGTTACATTATAAGTGCATCAACGAAATAAGTGAACGGTTCTTATTTTGGATATGTGATAATAGAATATTATATTCATGTAGTTTCATCACTAAATATAGTGAACTTGTTGGATAAGATGATATTATGCTTACCAGAGGCTCGCATATTATCATTTTATTCAACTTGTTCTATAACTACACTCATTACATATCCACTATTTACTGATTTTTAAACTGCATATTATAGTAATGTACAATGCACATTCATAAGAAATACTTGTGTCTGTGGTAAAATATGTGGGTCTTTATTAATTACTTAAATTAAGAATGAGTCATTATGTTATGCCCCCACTTCGAAGAAGAGGGGGTATATTGCTTTGCACTTGTCGGTCCGACAGTCCGTAGACCAAATGGTTTCCGAGTGATAACTAAAGAACCCTTAGGCCTAGGAACTTCAAACTTGGTATGGTGATTGGTCATGACAAGTAGATGACCCCTATTGATTTTGGGGTCAAGGGGTCAAAGGTCAAGGTCACATTGACCTTGTATGTTAAAACGGTTTCCGATCAATAACTAAAGAACGCTTAGGCCTAAGAACTTAAAACTTAGGTATGATGATTGGTCATGACCAGCAGATGACCCCTATTGATTTAGGGGTCAAGGGGTCAAAGGTCAAGGTCACATTGATCTTGTAGGTAAAAACGGTTTCCGATCAATAACTAAAGAACCCTTAGGCCTAGAGACTTCAAACTTGGTAAGATGATTGGTCATGACCAGCAGATGACCCCTATTGATATTGGGGTCAAGGGGGAAGGTCAAGGTCACATTGACCTTGTAGGTAAAAACGGTTTCTGATCAATAACTAAAGAACGCTTAGGCCTAGGAATTTCAAACTTGGTATGATGATTGGTCATGACCAGCAGATGACCCCTATTGATTTTGGGGTCAAAGGTCAAGGTCACATTGACCTTGTAGGTTAAAACGGTTTCCGATCAATAACTAAAGAACCCTTAGTCCTAGGAACTTCAAACTTGGTATGATGATTGGTCATGACCAGCAGATGACCCCTATTGATTTTGGGGTCAAGGGGTCAAAGGTAAAGGTCACATTGACCTTGTAGGTAAAAACGGTTTCCGTTCAATAACTAAAGAACCCTTAGGCCTAGGAACTTCAAACTTGGTATGATGATTGGTCATGACCAGTAGATGACCCCTATTGATTTTGGGGTCAAGGGGTCAATGTCATAGTGACCTTGACCGTTTCTGACCAATAACTCAACAACTCAAGTTGCCTTGGTTGATACTTTTATGTGCTCTTGGTATACACATTTAAAGGTCTTATGTAATATAACAACTTGGCTGTCATTAATGAGGCCTATGTGATTCATAAAATTTATGTATATATTATTTGGTAAGATTTTTAATAACTTTAATTGCTGCACACAACCTATGGGGTCACAATAATTATTACCTTGTGACTAGTCATGACCAGTAGATACTAGATAACACTTATTAATTGCTTGTTCACTGAGTCAGAAGTCATGCATAATAACCTGATCACATGACAAATTGGCTGCCGATAGGGGGCATACATGTTTTACAAACATATCTTGTTAAAGAGATATTGATCAAGTTAGAAGGGCTGTCTGATTGTACCCAGGTTTATATACTGGTGCATGTAGGCAGGATGATGGAAACCTCATCTCATCTTTCTTGTAGTTATTGTTGTATTATTGTATACAATTGTATAGGGAGAAGAATATGTATACAGGGAAGATTGGGGTGAAGGACTTGTTGGTAAGCATCAATCAGTACTGTGCATACTTACCATCTCTACAGGGGATATACAAGTGATAGATTATACACCAGCAAATGTCAGTGTTGGGCAGGTAAGTTACCTACAGTAAATACTGAATACAAAATATTGTTTTCTTATTAATCACTAAATAGACTTGTAATGCTACACTGACATGTTTGATAAACTTTTATGAATTTCATGTGTCACAGTCATGTTTCAGTTTATACCGAATTTATGAATTTATTTTTAAGTTTGATCATAATGTAGGAAGCTTTAACCTTATAGACACACTCCCCAAATTGTTCCTGGTACAAGCCACAATTAATTACACAATGAGAGTAAAGTTTCTCAAATCTGTTCCTGGAACAAGCCAGTATTAATAACACAATGAGAGTAAAGTTTCTCCAATCTGTTCCTGGAACAAGCCAGTATTAATAACACAATGAGAGTAAAGTTTCTCCAATCTGTTCCTGGAACAAGCCAGTATTAATAACACAATGAGAGTAAAGTTTCTCAAATCTGTTCCTGGAACAAGTCAGTATTAATAACACAATGAGAGTAAAGTTTCTGCAATCTGTTCCTGGAACAAGCCAGTATTAATAACACAATGAGAATAAAGTTTTCTCAAATCTGTTCCTGGAACAAGTCAGTATTAATAACACAATTAGAGTAAAGTTTCTCCAATCTGTTCCTGGAACAAGCCAGTATTAATAACACAATGAGAGTAAAGTTTCTCCAATCTGTTCCTGGAACAAGCCACTATTAATAACACAATGAGAGTAAAGTTTCTCCAATCTGTTCCAGGAACAAGCCAGTATTAATTACACAATGAGAGTAAAGTTTCTCCAATCTGTTCCTGGAACAAGCCACTATTAATTACACAATGAGAGTAAAATTTCTCAAATCTGTTCCTGGAACAAGCCAGTATTAATAACACAATGAGAGTAAAGTTTCTCCAATCTGTTCCTGGAACAAGCCAGTATTAATAACACAATGAGAGTAAAGTTTCTCCAATCTGTTCCTGGAACAAGCCAGTATTAATAACACAATGAGAATAAAGTTTCTCAAATCTGTTCCTGGAACAAGCCAGTATTAATAACACAATGAGAGTAAAGTTTCTCAAATCTGTTCCTGGAACAAGCCAGTATTAATAACACAATGAGAGTAAAGTTTCTCAAATCTGTTCCTGGAACAAGTCAGTATTAATAACACAATGAGAGTAAAGTTTCTCAAATCTGTTCCTGGAACAAGTCAGTATTAATTACACAATGAGAGTAAAGTTTCTTGCACCAGGAAGTAACAGCTTGCCCCTGATGGTGTTTGGACCAACCTGGAAACTGATTTTAAGATTACTTACTTGACATATTAACCAATCAGCCACGCTGCATGTTTTGTGTAAGAATTGTAGAGTAAATATATTGTTGGAATTTGGTGTGTTAACTTAAAACTGAGGATTTTAGTGTCCCCACATATTATATAAACTTTAGGAACATTGGAAAAAAAATCCCTGTGTTTATGGAAGAGTACAGCATTCTATATTTACAAATTTGTCTGAGAGCTTTGTTATATTCTCAACATATTATATTTAATTCTTCAAATAACCTTTTTAATTGTTTTTTGAGAATTTTTGTTTTTGTAACAATATTTTTCAGGCCAAATGGCTGCCAGAGGATACTGGGATAGCTTTTACAGGATGGCATCAGGATCCATTCAGGCTTGGAATAATTTACTGTCCAATAAGAAAGTATGTTTTTTTTATATAATTATGAGCCGCGTCACGACAAAACCAACATAATGGGTTTGTGACCAGCATGGATCCAGACCAGCCTGCGCATCCGCACAGTCTGATCAGGATCCATACTATTTGCTATCAGTTTCTCTACTTGTAATAGGGTTTGTATGCGAACAGCATGGATCCTGATCAGACTGCGCGGATGTGCAGGCTGGTCTGGATCCATGCTGGTCGCAAACCCATTATGTTGGTTTTTTCATGACGCGGCTCAAATGATCTCTACAAAATTTAGCAAGGCATGTCAAAGGTGTAAAAAATGGCCCCTCTCTGGGTGCCATTCAGTTTACTTAGACTTATCTAGTAGAAATACCTTTAAAAAAATCTTGTCTTGAAAACAACAATGTTCTGAGATTAGGGTTGAGATGGCAAGTGGAGCTAAAATAGAAATAATCTTTAACATCATCTACTTAATAGCTTGGTAGATTTTAATGAAACTCAACAGAAATAGATCACCTGCAAAAATATATACCTGAAAAATGATCTTTAAATGGTACATATTACAAAAACAATAAGAATTTTTTTTATTGTGTAAACTAGAATAAATTTCTTAGAAGTTTGCAATTTAGGGATTTTTTGACAGCCTCGTTTAACATATGAGGGTCATTTGTGTAACTGTTTATTCAGAAGTCTGTGTTTTTAGCTCAGCAGTCACAAAGTGACATGGTGAGCTTTTGTGATCACTTTTCGTTCAACGGTCCATGGTCCGTAAATTATTACTTTAAATGACATCTCTTCATTAACCTTTGAGCCAATTTCATCCAAACTTCACAGGAATGTTCCTTTAATGGCAACCTTTAAAATGTTCAAAGAATTTAATTACATGCAGAACTCTAGTTGCCATGGCAACCAAAAGAAAAAACTTTAAAAAATCTTCTTTTAAAAAAACCCAAAGAGCTAGAGCTTAGATATTTGGCGTGAAACTTTTTTAGCTCGACTTTTCTATGAAAAGGGGAGCTATCCTACTCGCCCCGGCGTCGGCGTCGGCGTTAGCGTTGGCGTCACACCTTGGTTAAGTTTTTCGTACCACCCCACTTTATTTCAGAAGTATTACAAGTATGGCTTTGAAACTTACCATACTTGTTCACCATCATAACCTCCATCTACAGACAAGAGTACATAACTCTGTCAAGGTTTTTGACAGAATTATGGCCCTTTTTTGACTTAGAAAGTGTATTGAGCTTGGTTAAGTTTTTTGTACCACCTCACTTTATTTCAAAACCATTGGAGGTATTGCTTTGAAACTGACCATACTTGTTTACCATCACGACCTTCATCAACAGACAAGAGGACATAACTCTGTCAAGGTTTTTGACAGAATTATGCCCCTTTTTGACTTAGAAAATACATTGAATATGGGTAAAATCCACTTATTGCCTTAACCCTTTGAGATATTGCTTTGAAACTTTTAATGCTATTTCACATCATTACCCCCATCTGTACGCAAGAGAAGGTAACTCTGTCAGGGATTTGTTTTAAAAATTAAGGCCTTTTATCGACTTAGAATCTTGGTTAAGTTTTTTGTACCAGTCAACTTTTTGACTGAACTGGTTGAGATATTAAATTGAAAGTGGAATACTTGTTTACCATCATGGTCCCAAACATGGGCAGGAGAAGGTAATTCTGTTAAGGATTTTATTTGAATTATGGCCCTTTTTGACTTAGAAACTCAGTTAAAATTTTCATTCTTGTCCACTTGTTGACCTAACCATTTGAGATATTACTTTGGAAGTTGGAGTTCTTATGTGCCATCATGAGACCTATCTGTAAGCAGAGAGAGATAACTCTGTGAAAATGTTTCTTGATTTGTACTTAGAAATTCCTAGTTAAAGTCTTGTGTGCCCTTAACTGTCAAAGTTTTGTTTTATAGGCAAGCACTAAAAAAGTCGAGCGCGCTGTCCTTCTGACAGCTCTTGTTTTAGTAACTGTCTACCAATTTTGTTCAAATAAAAGCCCTGGGATCAAAATTGGCCCGCCCCAGGGGGGGGGGGTCATTGTTTTTCCATATATGTATATAGTAAAATCTTCTTTAAAAAATGCCAAGAGAAAGAGCTAAGATATAGCATGAAACATCTTCAGCGATATCAGGCCCATCATGGCCCTCTTGTTATTTTTCAGGAGCACAATCTTTCATTTGAATCTAGAGACAAAGGAATGCGGTATGTTATTAATTATATTATGGGACTTAAACAAAGTAGCATTTTGATTAAAACATTGCAATGGTATAAGACTTGATGATATATTTTGTCGAAACTGTTACTCTTTATGTGACTAGATCAAAACTGTGAAACCCTGTAAGGCAAGATAATCGAAACATTGCAATTTTGTTAAATGAAACAGGGCATTAATTAATCAATTAACCTTATTAGATGAGGCAATACCTTGACTAAACTGTGCAATTTTATAAAGCAAGGTTTTATTTTGATTAGTACTGTGCAATTTTTGTGCTCCCACTATAGGGGGGTGGGGGCATTAAGATTTATCCTTGTACGTCCATCCATCCTTCCTTCTGTCTGTCTGCTTTTAGCTCACCTGTCACAAAGTGACAGGGTGAGCTTTTGTGATCGCTTTTCGTCCGGCGTCCGTCCGTCCGTCGTCCGTCCGTCCGTCCGTCCGGCGTCCGTCCGTCCGTAAACTTTTGCTTTAAATGACATCTCCTCATAAACCACTGAGCCAATTTCATCCAAACTACACAGGAATGTTCCTTTGGTGGTCACGTTTAAAAATTGTTCAAAGAATTTAATTCCATGCAGAACACTGGTTGCCATGGCAACCGAAAGAAAAAACTTTAAATATCTTCTTTTAAAAAAACCATAAGAGCTAGAGCTTAGATATTTGGCATGAAACATCTTCTAGTCAGTGTCTACCAAGTTTGTTCAAATAAAAGCCCTGGGGTCAAAATTGGCCCTGCCCTGGGGTCATTGATTTTCCCCATATGCATTATAGTAAAAACTTAAAAAATCTTCTTTTTAAGAACCCAAAGAGCTAGAGCTAAGATATTTGGCATGAAACATCTTGTAGTAAGTGTGTACCAAGTTTGTTCAAATAAAAGCCCTGGGGTCAAAATTGGCCCCGCCCCATGGGGTCATAGATTTTCCCTATATGCATATAGTAAAAACTAAAAAAAATCTTCTTTTAAATAACCCAAAGAGCTAGAGCTAAGATATTTGGTATGAAACATCTTCTAGTGAGTGTCTATCAAGTTTGTTCAAATAAAAGCCCTGGGGTCAAAATTGGCCCCGCCCCAGGGGGTCATAGATTTTCCCTATATGCATATAGTAAAAACTTAAAAAATCTTCTTTTAAAGAACCCAAAGAGCTAGAGCTAAGATATTTAGCATGAAACATGTTCTAATGGGTGTCTACCAAATTTGTTCAAATAAAAGCCCTGGGATCAAAATTGGCCCCGCCCCGGGGGTCATTGATTTTTTATATGTGTATGGCAAAAATTTAAAAATCTTATTTGAAAAAACCCATATAGCTAGAGTTTAGATATTAAGCATGAAACATCTTCTAATCAGTGTCTACAAAGTTTGTTCAGATAAAAGCCCCAGGGTTAAAATTGGCCCTGCCCCGGGGGTCATTGATTTTCCTTTTTTGTGTATAGCAAAAACTTAAAAATCTCCTTTGAAAAAACCCAAATAGCTAGAGTTTAGATATTAAGCATGAAACATCTTTTAGTAAATATCTGCAAAGTTTGTTCAAATAAAAGCCCTGGGGTCAAAACTGGCCCTGCCCCAGGGGTGTCATTGTTTTTAAAAAACTTAAAAAATCTTCTTTTAAAAAATCCAATGAGCTAGAACTTCGATGTTTAGCATGAAACATCTTCTTATGGGTGTCTACCAAGTCTGTTCAAATTAACAAATAAAAGCCATTGGGTAAAAATTGGGGGGGGGGACTATATACAGGATACAGGTGAGCGACCTCAGGGCCATCATGGCCCTCTTGTTATGTTGTGTGGCTAGTAGCTTAAAAAGTTTTTGACCAAGTCATGAAACTTTACAGCATGTGAAGTTGTGCACCTGGGGTATTGCTTGTGGATTTATACTGTTTTGTCAGAGTTATTGCCCTTGAATTAGTAAAAAAAATTTGCAGCTTGGGTTGTGTAGCTCAGAAAATATTTGACCTAAAGTCATGAAACTTTACAGAATGTTGGTTGGCATGTGTAGTTGTGCACCTTGGGGTTTGATTGTGAATTTATTCAGTATCTGAAGAGTGACTGCCCTTGACTTAGTAAAAACCGTTCCATTATGTTGTGTCCTGTGTTCCTTGAATGCTTGAGTTAACTTAACAGGAAATAATGATCAACATCACTGTGAAGCTGTGCATCTTGGGTTTTGCATGTCTATTTTGTTAAGAGTTATTGCCCTTGACTTAGTATATATTGCAATTTTCCACTTGTTCATGCATAGCTTAAAGAATGTTTGACCTGTAGGCCTGAAAGTGTACAAGAATGTTGGTCAGCTTGTGTCAGCTTGTGTACTTATGCACCTTGGGGTCTGTTTGTGATTCAGTATTTGTTCTTACCCTTGACTTAGTAAAAGATTTTTAGTTTTCAACTTGTGTCACATGTAGTCCAAAAAATATTTGACCTAGAGTTATAAGATTGACAAAAACAGTGGAGTGTTGGGGCACCTGTGTCCTTAATAACGGACACATTTCTAGTTAACCACAAGAAGGTATTTTATTCAAAACTGCAATATTAAGATTAGATAGTTTTTTGATAAAAAAACTATGCAATTCCAAAAGGTTAGACAGTTATTTGATGAAATCTGTGCATTAAAAACTAACAGCTAGATAGTTTGTCAACGGAAACTGCAATTTTGGTAGATAGGATGATCAAATTGAAACTTTCTTGCAGAGAAAATGTCTGTTGAAGGGTTTTCATCCCACGGTTGTAGAATATCACCAGATGGCAGCATGATGGTATTTTTACAAAATAATTCTAGTGGTCCACATAAACAGTGTTCCATTATCATAAAGGTATTGACAGATAGATGCATGAATAATTACCATTTGAGCCGCTTCACGACAAAACCAACGTAATGCGTTTGCGACCAGCATGGATCCAGACCAGCCTGCGCATCCACGCAGTCTGATCAGGATCCATGCTGTTCGCTTACAAACCCTATAACAAGTAGAGAAACTAATAGGGAACAGCATGGATCCTGATCAGACTGCGGGAATGCGCAGGCTGGTCTGGATCCATGCTGGTCGCAAATGCATTATGTTGGTTTTGTCATGGCGCTGCTCATTTATATTATGGATATGTAATGATAATTATCCAATTCCGGTCAAATGAAATTGATATTTTATGGCAGTATGGATAAAATTATCATATATCAGTTTTATCTTCTGATATATGATAATTGGCTGAAACATTGGCTGAAACATAAACAGAGTTGTTAACTTAGGTAGATAATTGTTCAGGAATTGGTGCATTGTCACTACATATCCTTTTCATTTTTCAGAATTTTTGCTTTAATTAATTTACGTCTTACAGCTGAATTAACATCCACTAACAAAGCTGCCCATGATGCGAGAATTTCTCCTAATAAGGAGAGTTTTTTCTATCTTCAAAGTGAAATTGGTGGACCCCATATGCAGTGTTGTGAACTCCTTAAGGTAATTGCAGAAGCATAAAGACAAGGGAAAACTGAATTTGGTGACATGGGGTAAAATTGTCCTATATCATAATGGTGATGGTTATACTTAATGTTATATATATTACATATATACAGTAAGGTTTTGAAAATCTCTTAGGTTGTGTATATTACATAGGGATAACCAGGGAATTTTTAGCAATAAAAAAGCATATTCAACATAATATGCTCACTTTGAGAAAATCAACCTTTGCCACCTGTAAAGAGCCAGGCCAGCCTGAATATCCCTGCAGTCTGAATATCCCTGCAGTCTGAATATCCCTGCAGCCTGATTATCCCTGCAGTCTGAATATCCCTGCAGTCTGAATAGTCCTGCAGTCTGAATATCCCTGCAGTCTGAATATCCATGCAGCCTAAATATCCCTGCAGCCTGATTATCCCTGCAGTCTGAATATCCCTGCAGCCTGAATATCCATGCAGCCTAAATATCCCTGCAGCCTGATTATCCCTGCAGTCTGAATATCCCATGCAGCCTGAATATCCCTGCAGCCTGAATATCCCTGCAGTCTGAATATCCCTGCAGTCTGAATATCCATGCAGCCTTAATATCCCTGCAGCCTGAATATCCCTGCAGCCTGAATATCCCTGCAGCCTGAGTATCCCTGCAGTCTGAATATCCCTGCAGCCTGATTATCCCTGCAGCCTGAATATCCCTGCAGCCTGATTATCCCTGCAGCCTGACTATCCCTGCAGCTTGAATATCCCTGCAGTCTGAATATCCCTGCAGCCTGAATATCCCTGCAGTCTGAATATCCCTGCAGTCTGACCAGGCTCTATACTGCCCATAGCTTAACAGAAATCTTGTAATTTTTAAACGGACTGTTCCTAATTCAAAGCAGATTAAATCAATTATCACAAATTGAACAGGTTAAGAGATGAAGTGATGCACTCCTGTACTGTTAAAATATACAGGTGTTGTTTTATTCATACTGATATGTAATGTGTTTTATGCTTTACGTTGTTTGTACCAAATCATACAGTATGTATTTGCACTATCATTGAGTTTTATTACAACAGAGACCATTAAAACTTCACCTTCATAATAAATAAAGAAAAAGAACTTGTTATATCCCTCTTGTTTGTTTGGCATTGTTAATTATTAACCTTTTTGTTAATGTCCATTTCTGAGTAATTGTCAAAGCTAAACACTGCAAACTTGGGATACTTGTTCCATCTCAATATTGGTATGCATTTCAAAAGGACCGGTTTGATTTATTTTTCCTCATGTGTGCCCCATTTTCAACTTAAGGTACATAAGAACGTTCATCTAAAACTTTAAAAGATATTCACTTTAGACATAAAACGCTCGTATTTAGACTTTACTTTGACAATACTATCCTATCCAGATTTGAAATTGTGGCGAAGATTTTGTTTACCATGCAAATTAGTTAGATTGTTACATATTTCAACTCTGAGCTAAAGTTCTAGAAACTATTAATTACCTTTTCCTAAATTGAGAAAAAATTTTGAACTTTTTTATTAGCTCACTTGTCACAAAGGGACATGGTGTGCTTTTGTGATCGCTTTTCGTCCGGTGTCCGTCCAGCGTTGCCATAACAACCAAAAGAAAAAACTTAAAATATCTTCTTTTAAAAAACCCAAAGAGGTAGAGCTTAGATATTTGGCATGAAACATCTTCTAGTAAAGTGAGTGTCTATCAAGTTTGTTCAAATAAAAGCCCTTGGGGTCAAATGATTTTTGTCAGAGTTATGGCCCTTTAATAATTTTTAATTTAAAAGTTTGTCCGGACTACTTCTCTTATACCACTAATGCAATTTCAATGAAACTTTACAGGATTGATCTGTAGCTCAAGTCCTTGCGCATATTGCACGGGTTTTCCGGTTGAATGATTTTTGGCCGAGTTATGGCCCTTTGATAAAAAGGTTTCTTTTTCTGTGTGTTGCCAAATACACAAAAGCTTGTCCGGACTACTCCTCATAAACTACTGGTGCAATTTCATCAAAACTTTACAGGAATGATCAGTACCAAGTCTAGTTGTGCATATTGTCAGCATTTTCCGGTTAAATGATTTTTGTTTGAGTTATGGCCCTTTAATAATTTTTATTTTTAAGGTGTTTTTTTCTGTGTGTTGCCAGATACGCAAAAGCTTGTCCTGACTACTCCTCATAAACTACTGGTGCAATTTTATCCAAATTTTACAGGAATGATCAGTACAAAGTGGTTAGTCTAGTTGTGCACTGTCCGTCTGTCTGTCCGTCTGTCACAAAATTTGTCCCAACATGAAATTGGCCATCATGAGGAGACACATGTGATTACTGATCGCTCTTGTAATTTTTGTGCCCCCACATTAGTGGCGGGCATTTAGATTTACCCTTGTCCGTCCATCTGTCCGTCCGTCCTTCCGTCCGTGTGTCCGTCAGTTCACTTTTGTGTCGCGCGTAACTCAAAAAGTATTTGACCTAGAATCATGAAACTTTACAGGAATGTTGATCAGCATGTGTAGTTGTGCACCTGGGTATTTTCGTTTAGATATTTTTAGTATTTTCAGAGTTATTGCCCTTGACTTAGTAAAATTTTGCAATTGTCAACTTTAGTCGCATGTAACTCAAAAAATATTTGACCTACAGTCATGAAACTTTACAGGAATGTTGATCAGCATGTGTAGTTGTGCACCTGGGTATTTTCGTCTGGATATTTATAGTATTTTCAGAGCTATTGCCCTTGACTTAAGTAAAATTTTGCAATTTTCAACTTGTGTCGCACATAATTCAAAAAATATTTGACCTAGAGTCATGAAACTTTACAGGAATGTTGATCAGCATGTGTAGTTGTGCACCTGGGTATTTTTGTCTGGATATTTTTAGTATTTTCAGAGTTATTGCCCTTGACTTAGTAAAATTTGGCAATTTTCAACTTGTGTCGCACATAACTCAAAAAGTATTTGACCTACAGTCATGAAACTTTACAGGAATGTTGATCAGCATGTGTAGTTGTGCATCTGGGTATTTTCGTCTGGATATTTTTAGCATTGTCAGAGTTATTGCCCTTGACTTAGTAAAATTTGGCAATTTTCAACATGTGTCGCATGTAACTCAAAAAGTATTTGACCTAGAGTCATGAAAATTTACAGGAATATTGATCAGCATGTGCAGTTGTGCACCAGGTATTTTTGTCTGGATTTTATTTAGTATTTTTTAGAGTTATTGCTTCTTCACTTAGAAAATTTTTGCATTTTCAACTTGTGTCGCAAAGTTTTTCAAAAAGGATTTGACATAGTCATTAAACCTTATGGGCAGGTTTGCTCAAGCATATTTTAGATTTGCACCTGGGGTTTTCGCTGTGGGATTTATCCAGTATTTGTAGAGTTATTTCCCTTGACTTAGTAAAAAGATTGACAGAACAGTGGCGAGGTGGGGGCACCCGTGTCCTATGGACACATTTCTAGTTGCTATTTCTTCTTGGGTGAAAAGGGCTCCACTTAAAACCTTTTGACCTTTTCTCAGTTGAGCGATCCAGGGCCGTCTTGGCTCTCTTGTTTTTTTCAATATCATAATTTGCCTTTATTAAATGCATGCTAGATATAAATGATGTGTTGTAATTAAGAAATACACAGGTATATAATATTATAATTACAGGTAGGTAATAAATCTAATTATTCTAATATTTCAGTATGATTTGAAAAGCAAGATTTCCAGTACTGTGGTAGAGAAAGTCAAGTTTGCTGCAGGTTGGATTTTTTATTTGATTAGGAATTGCAGTGCTTGTAATTAGAGCAGTCATCAATAAAAATCAATATAGATGCATCATTAAAAATTTTCTGTTGATCAATAATCAATACACATTTGATCTGTGCCATGACAAAATCAATAAATGGATTTGTGACCGGCATGGATCCGACCAGCCTGCGCATCCAAGCAGTCTGATCAAAATCCATGCTGTTCGCTTACCAATCCTATTACAGGTAGAGAAACAGATAGTGAACAGCATGGATCCTGATCAGACTGTGCGGATCCACAGGCTGGTCTGGATCCATGCTGGTTGCAAATGCACTATGTTTGTTTTGTCATGACATGGCTCATTAAAAAAATCGATAATTTTGACTTAAATGTCTAGAAATTTTACCCAAAATGTAAACAGGAGCAGGTGCCCATGTCTAACATTATATTTTGTTATAATTTGGAAAAATTTCACAGCAATAATGACAAAATAATGGTCTGGATAAAAATCATACAATGTGCTTTTGTAAACAAGACACAACTGAACATGTTTTCAACTGAAATCATTTAAACGGGTATAAAAGTGAATGACAGACAAGTAATTTTTGGTAATTATCAATATATAGGGGTATCATTGATATTTGTCATCTGATATGGATATATTGTTGATATGCACTGCCTTGAATCTATGACAGCTCTATTTGTAATACATAAAGGCAAAAGGCTGGCTTATTTTCTTTGTTCAATGGACATTATATGAGCCACGTCATGACAAAACCAACATAGTGGGTTTGCGACCAGCATGGATCCAGACCAGCCTGCACATCTGGGATTTCTGATCAGGATCCATGCTGTTCGCTTACAAACCCTATTACAAGTAGAGAAACTGATAGCGAACAGCATGGATCCTGATCAGACTGCGCGTATGCGCAGGCTGGTCTGGATCCATGCTGGTCGCAAACCCACTATGTTGGTTTTGTCATGACGCGGCTCATATTTGCTGATAAGGGAGAATGTAATAATTCATGAAAGTTTTTTGTTATATTAAAAGGAATGGTATTTACTTTATAATAGTAGCTATAGTCCGAGCATGATAAACAGAACTTTCGTCAGTTCTAAAAATACCAGCACAGTCCATTAAAAGATTTACTCAGGTAAACATAGGTAACTGCAAGTGATTAACCAAATAATTAAATTGAAATTATACAAATTATATTTTATGAGATGTTATTTTCGTTTGACTGTATAGCACATAAGTTAAGACTGCCTTATTAATAGAATTAACTAGCGGGTTCGAAACCTGTTAGAAACTTTAATTTTTTTTCAATTTTTAATTCTTTTTTTTTTAAATTTCTTATCTGTCTGACAAAAAAATATATGATTTATATTGAACTTAAAGAATTGCATTTTTTTGGTCTCTTGAAATGTTAAAAATATTTCATACATTTGTAATAGATAAATGCAAAACATATAATAAATTTAGGTGAAGATACTTCGTTTAAAAAGTAATATAAATTCATCAATAAGAATAAACAAAAGGAATTATCGTTATGTTTTTTCGTGTATATATGAAAGGGAAAATGAAAAAAATTTGAAAAAAATGAAAAAATAAAAAATTTGAAGCCTATTACTCTCCTGTCGAGGACTAGGGTTCCTTCTGAACATAGTGCTCTACGGATTGAGCTATTGCGACATTTATTATTTACTTCTGCAATTATCAGTGAAATGTACAATCATTGAGATGTGCAACATTTCATTTACCTATATAGTTTTAATATAGACTAGTCCGTACTATAAATAAATGTGAAGAAAGTTCTGTTTATCGTGCTCGGATTATAGATCTACAACAGTGTTTGTTTTGACTTTAAACAGCTCATGAAAAATAACAATAAGTGCTTGTCAAGATAAAGATTTTTCATCTTCTGTACTATCAGATATTTTTGATATCATCAGAATTCCTTTTTTATGCCCAGGGGGTATATTGCTTTGCACTTGTCGGTCCGTAGACCAAATAGTTTCCGAGTGATAACTAAAGAACCCTTAGGCCTAGGAACTTCAAACTTGGTATGGTGATTGGTCATGACCAGTAGATGACCCCTATTGATTTTGGGGTCGAGGGGTCAAAGGTCAAGGTCACATTGACCTTGTAAGCAAAAACAGTTTCCAATCAATAGTTTAAGAACCTTAAGGCCTAGGAACTTCAAACTTGGTATGGTGATTGGTCATGATCAGTAGATGACCCCTATTGATTTTGGGGTCAAAGGTCAAGGTCACATTGACCTCTTGGGTAAAAACGGTTTCTGATCAATAACAAAAGAACCCTTTAGGCCTAGGTACTTCAAAACTTGGTATGGTGATTGGTTATGACCAGCAGATGACCCCTATTGATTTTGGGGTTAAGGGTCAAAGGTCAAGTCACATTGACCTTGTAGGTAAAAACGGTTTTCCAATCAATAACTAAAGAACTTTAAGGCCTAGGAACTCCAAACTTGGTAATGGTGATTGGGTCATGATCAGTAGATGACCCCTATTGATTTTGGGGTCAAGGGGTCAAAGGTTAAGGTCATATTGACCTCTTGGGTAAAAACGGTTTCTGATCAATAACAAAAGAACCCTTAGGCCTAGGAACTTCAAACTTGGTATGGTGATTGGTTATGACCAGCAGATGACCCCTATTGATTTTGGGGTTAAGGGGTCAAAGGTCAAGGTCACATTGAACTTGTAGGTAAAAACGGCTTTCCGATCAATAACGAAAGAACCCTTAGGCCTAGGGACTTCAAACTTGATATGGTGATTGGTCATGATCAGTAGATGACCCCTATTGATTTTGGGGTCAAGGGGGTCAAAGGTCAAGGTCACATTGACCTCTTGGGTAAAAACGGTTTCTGATCAATAACTAAAGAACCCTAAGCCTAGGAACTTCAAACTTGGTATGGTGATTGGTCATGACCAGCAGATGACCCCTATTGATATTGGGGTTAAGGGGTCAAAGGGCAAGGTCACATTGACCTTGTAGGGTAAAAATGCTTTCCAATCAATAACTTAAGAAACCCTCAGGCCTAGGAACTTCAAACTTGTATGGTGATTGGTCATGACCAGCAGATGACCTATTGATTTTGGGGTCAAGGGGTCAAAGGTCAATGTCACATTGACCTTGTAGGTAAAAACGGTTTCTGATCAATTAACTAAAAATGCTTAGGCCTAGGAACTTCAAACTTTGTATGATGAATGGTCGTGACCAGCAGATGACCCCTATTGAGTTTGGGTCAAGGGCAAAGGTCAAGGTCACATTGACCTTGTAAGTAAAAACGGTTTCTGATCAATAACTTAAGAACACTTTAGGCCTAGGAACTTCAAACTTGGTATGGTGATTTGTCATGACCAGCAGATTACCCCTATTGATTTTGGGATCAAGGGGTCAAAGGTCAAGGTCACATTGACATTGTAAGTAAAAACGGTTTCTGATCAATAACTAAAGAACGCTTCGGCCTAGGAACTTCAAACTTGGCATGGTGATTGGTCATGACCAGCAGATGACCCCTATTGATTTTGGGGTCAAAGGGCAAGGTCACATTGACCTTGTATGTTAAAACGGTTTCTGATCAATAACTAAAGAAGCCTTAGGCTTAGGAACTTCAAACTTGGTATGGTGATTGGTCATGACCAGCAGATGACCTATTGATTTTGGGGTCAAGGGGTCAAATGTCAAGGTCACAATGACCTTGTAGGTAAAAACGGTTTCTGATCAATTTACTAAAAACGCTTAGGCCTAGGAACTTCAAACTTTGTATGATGATTGGTCATGACCAGAAGATGACCCCTTTTGAGTTTTGGGTCAAGGGGTCAAAGGTTAAGGTCATGACCAGTAGATACTTGATAACCCTTATTAATTGTTTGTTCACTGGGTCAGAAGTCATGCATAATAACCTTATCACATGACTAATTGGCTGCTGATAGGGGGCATACATGTTTTACAAACATATCTTGTTTATTTATTTGTTTTGATTGATTGATTTATTTATTTGATTTAATTTATTAAATTTATTTGAATTTAATCATTAATTACTTATACTTATTAATTAATTAATTAAATTACTAATTGTACTTATATTGATTAATTAATTATTTACTTAAATTTAATTTAAGTCTACAAGTCACAAGTCTCACTTTTGTTTACCTTTGGTTACACTAAAGAGGTGAAAAATATAACTGTACAGATCACATGTCTCGCTCCCATTAACTCTCAGTTGTTAAACTTTAAACTGAGAGAAATTTAAAGTATGCACAGATGTATCAAATAATTTAGATTTCAAATATTGTATTCATTTTCATTTCTGATTAAGACTAGTATATCTTAAATTGAATATGAGTTATTTTATTGTCTAATCATAATTTAAAGGGGTTGTCTGTACGTGTATATAAGTTTTTCTTTAATCATATATAGGGGATGAGTTTCCAGGAGTGTATGCTGTTAAAGTACCAGATGAATGCTGGTGTGAAGATAATACAAGAGTTGTCATCAACTCTAGTTGGAGAAGTAGAGATGTTGTTCTAGTCATTGATACAAATACAAAATCTGTAACCAGATTGCCAGCTTGTAAGTATTAGATTTCTTTTATCTAATTTATAAATTCTTTACCTTTACTGGCACTCGTGGTCAAGTGCTTAAGGACATTGACTTCAAACCACTTGCTCCACACAACTGTGTGTTCAAATACTGACAGGCCCTTTGGATTCTAGCTATCCAGCTGGTTCATGAAACATTGGAAGTTCTATTTGTGTGTCATTTCCTGCCTGAGATAAAGCACAGAAAGGCACCTGAAGTCTTCCTCCATCAGTAAAGCTGGAATGTCACCATATGACATATACTTTTTTGGTGCAAGGTAAAACCCAACCAAAAAAAAAAAAAAAAAAAAAATTAAATAAATGTCCTGATAGGGGTTACCTTTGTCGTCGGTTTCGGCTTTGGCGTTCCCTAAAGCTTGTCCTGAGCATAAGTCAGTTGCTTTAAGTTGGATTGACTCAAAACTAGGTATGCATGCTTCTTTTTAGTGCATAAGAATCATTACTCTGCACTTCTAAATTTTTGAGTTATTGCCCTTTGTTAATTTTGATACTTTATTTTTGTCCGGCCATTTCTCCTAAAGTATAAAAGCTATGGACTTGAAACTTCATAGGATGATAGATCTCATTGAGAAGAAGTGTAGTGCACAAGAAGCGATACTCTGTACTTCATGATTTTAGAGTAATTGCCCTTTGTAAATTATAAAACTTTATTTTTGTCCGGGCCAATTCTCCTACACTTGCTATTGACTTGAACTGTCATAGGATGAAAGATCATGACCCTTGTCTTACCTAATAGGCTTGTCCAGAGCATAACTTGGTCACTATAAGTTTGATTGACTCCAAATTAAGTCTGCTAGCTTTTTCCATTGACCTGAAGTGCAGTGCTTAAGAATCCATCACAGAGTCCTCCTTTTGATCTGTCAGTGTAAAACTTTTCTATGGTATTTTTATTTTTGATAATATAGCAGTTTTATTCAACCTGATGTAATATTGTTACACTCAGTTCAAATGCCACTAAAGTTAAAGGTACATGTACATTGTAAGAGCAGTGTTTCAGAAGAAAATGCCTCAAGTGACAGCTATATTGTTCACAAGGCGACACATCAGACTTGCAGAGTTCCAGTTCATTTAAACATATGAGCCGGCACGACAAAACCAACGTAATGGGTTTGCGACCAGCATGGATCCAGACCAGCCTGCACATCTGTGCAGTCTGGTCAGGATCCATGCTGTTCGCTATCAGTTTCTCTACTTGTAATAAGGTTTGTAAGCGAACAGCATGGATCCTCATCAGACTGCGTGGATGCGCAGGCAGGTCTGGAACTCTGGATCCATGCTGGTCGCAAACCCATTGTGTTGGTTTTGTCATGACGCGGCTCAATTATTATTTTCAGACAAAGATTGCTGTATGACAAGTTTGTGCACAGATAGAGATATTATAGTAGCCGAGTGTTCATCTCCTTCAAGACAAAATTTCCTGGTAAATTCTTAACAATTATACTATATAATGATAATTTTAATGATAATAATATTGTAATATCATAATTCTAAATGATGTTATTAATTTGTAATGTAAACTACATGTATGATTTTTAAATAAAATGTAAAATTTGATAATATAAAGAAAAGTTACTGTTGTACAGGCTTGCAATAGAATTTAATGACTTTACAAACAAGTTCATATTAATTGATGTAAAAGTTAGGACATGTGCATTTTGATTGAAGTAAAAGTTATGATTTTACAAACATGTGCCTTTTGATTGAAGTAAAAGTTATGATTTTACAAACATGTGCGTTTGGATTGAAGTAAAAATTATGATTTTACAAACATGAGTATTTTGAATGAAGTTTTACAAACATGTGCCTTTTTGATTGAAGTAAAAGTTATAACTTTACAAACATGCATTACAAGTGCATCTTGAGAAACATGTTTGTAAATGTTTTTTATAAAGTTGTTTGGCAAATAGTATTTGGAGTTAAGGACAACAATACAGTAATACACATTTTTATGTTATTTTGTTCAGACAGTGATATGTTTGTTTAATTCTACTTGAAGCTTGGAATCCTATATTTGATGTTAGGAAATAAAAGCTACCATAGTTCCTATACCCAGACATAGAAAATATGGAAAGTAACCTTTTGGTTATGATTTTGACCCTGACATAGTCTGTGATGTTACTGCCTTTCCTTTCATTCCCATCCTCTCCTTCCTTACAGCCCATGAGAGACAAATGAGCCACGCCATGACAAAACCGACATAATGGGTTTGCGACCAGCATGGATCCATGCTGTTCGCTATCACTTTCTCTACTTGTTATAGGGTTTGTAAGCAAACAGCATGGATCCTGATCAGACTGTGCGGATGCGCAGGCTGGTCTGGATCCATGCTGGTCGCAAACCAATTATGTTGGTTTTGTCATGGCGCGGCTCAAATAACAATTTGAATAAGGTTGCCTACCGTTGAGGTGTCTAATGTCTGTCAGGGATCATGGGTTTTCAGAGCAAGTTAACTGATATGACACCAGTTCAAGTCAGTTCCTTGAAAGTATTTCTTTTCATCACAGTCAACCTTTAATATGTTCTTGTTTAAGACTATAGCTTTTGTAATATGGAAGTGTTGTATAATCATTAGTTATTTATCAGGTTATTGGATGTATCCCTGCTTCAGGGAAAGAGACAGAAATAGAATGGTTACCACTGGATGAGTCACTGCCACAGTTAGACAATGTCTCCTGGAAGGTCATAGGTCACCAGCCATCATCGGACAGGATCAATAAAGACTATCGTATGTTCATACATCTGGTGCTATTGTTATAGTCAGTTGTGCACTCAAACCTGGAATTGAAACCTAAGTACTATCTATACTAGGGGTGTGGATCGTCGGATAAGTGACGATCCGATCCGAACCACGATTCAGCACTTACGATTCACAAATCGAACTACAAATCTTTTGTTATCAAGACACCCCCCCCCCCAAAAAAAAACAACAATACTAAACATTAAATAATAAAATATAAATTAGGTTTATTTTTTTATTCTTTGGATGAGTATTTTTGTTTTGTTTTTTGAAACCAATTACTTCCTAGCTTAGCATCATGGTACATTGTCTTTAACCGGCAAATTGTATTAGGTAAACTTCATATAATTTATACTCAAATCGTATTTTTCTCGATTTTAAGAGTGTGAGAAACAGTGAATGTATATAAAAAAAATTAAATCGCGATCCACGATCTCTGGGTTTACGAATATTCAAACTCGATTTTCCACTTTGATTCGTGATTATCCGAGTACTCGGATACTCGCCCCAGCCCTAATCTATACAATGTATATTATGCAATGACAGTTCTAAAATTTGGTAAGGTCAGAAATGACTTACCAATGTTAGCTGTATGAGGTAAAGTCAGACAGAACAGACTGCATTTCTTTGCTGTCTTACCACCAAACTCATCACTAGTTAGTTAGTTAGTTATTCAATTTAAACATATTTATGTAGAAATCTGTAATATATCTGTTGTCAGAAGTCAAGTACAGGGTCAGAACTTAAACTTTCTATGCTGGGTAGAGAATGTATTATAATATATGTATATATTAAATATATATCAAGGCATCATTATTGATTTTAAATTTTACTTTTGAGAACACAATATGAATGTCTAGGTTCATTGATGTTCAGTTTGAGATTTTAGAACACAGTATGAATGTCTAGGTTTATTGATATTTAATTTTAGATTTGAGAACAATATTTTACTCTCAAGATCTTATTAGTTATTTTAAAAAAATAATTTAAAATCAGCCTCCAGGAATTGTTATGTATTGGAGAATGTCAGTCAAAACTTTGAGATCTGCTTATTGTGAGACAAAGTTAAAAGTGTCAATTATATTTGAATTTCAGCTAATTTAACCTATGAGAGTATCCTAGTTTATCCATCCAATACTGGGTCAGATACAACGAAAAAACTGCTAGTATTTCCTCATGGTAAGATATTATTTACTTCATACTAAAATGTGATGTGATTCCTGCATGATGTAATGTGATATCTTGACATAGTAAGGTATGATTCCCTGATGGTTAGATATGATTCTCTAATGGTAAGATATGATTCTCTAATGGTAAGATATGATTCTCTAATGGTAAGATATGATTCTCTAATAGTAAGATATGATTCTCTAATGGTAAGATATGATTCTCTAATGATAAGATATGATTCTCTAATGGTAAGATATGATTCTCTGATGGTAAGATATGATTTTCTAATGGTAAGGTAGGGATTTTCAAATGGTAAGATATGAGTCTCTAATGGTAAGATAAGATTTCAGTTTGGTTAGGTATGATTTGTTTGTAGCTACATGTGGATTGTATAATATTCTCAAACTATTCAATATTATAATATTCCTTAAATTATTCTTTAATATTATAAAAAATAAAATAAATAACAATATTTCCTTCAACCCTTCTTTCTTTAAACCTGTTTTAACAAAAGTTCACTTGACTAAAGCAATATTTTATATGCATTTAGGAAATTTTATATAATTTGGCACAAATCTGCACCATCATGAGGACTTGTGCTGACTGCAAAGTTGATGTTTGTGTGACTAATGTCAAAAATATGAAAATGTGTGTCGGCTTGAATTGAGGAATTATATCACAAATTATGATTAATCATGAGAGGGATTGTACCAGCATAATCCAGGTCAATATATGTAAGAATACGATCATAATTTAAGGGTGCATATCTTTAAATACATGGATGAATTTCAGTATAATTGATACAGATGTTCATCACCATGAGTCATTAGGTTGTGCAAAGATCAGAGGTCAAAAATATACTTAGAGGTCAAAGGAACAAACCTTCTACATCATAACAAATATTAACCATTGTAAAAATTGTAAAGCATAAAATTCATGTCAAACACTCTAGCGGTCACATTTTTGCCTCAATCATCATTAAACTTTGTTAGGATGCTTGTCTAGGTTATTGCTTGAATGAGTTCGAACATGGGTCATCTCTGATGAAAAACTAGGTCACAGGAGCTAGAAATATAAAAATATTGTAAACATTCTAGTGACTACTGTTTTGATCCAAATATCCTGGAAATTGGTCAGAAAGTTTGTTTTTATAATATTTAGGTCAAGTTTGAATATGGGTCATCTTGGGTCAAAAATTAGGTCACACCGCCAAAATATGGAAAAACCTTGTCGTGACATATTTGACTCAATTGTCATAAAACTTGGCCAGGATGAATTGTCATTAAACTTGGTCAGGATGAATTGTCTAGGTAATTTCTCGGATGAGTTAGAACATGGGTCATCTTGAATGAAAAACTAGGTCACAGGAGCTAAAAATAGAAAAAATCTTGTTAAAACTCTAGTGGCTACTGTTTTGATCCAAATATCCTGGAAATTAGTCTTAAAGATAATGTTTTCATAATTTCTAGGTCAAGGTCAAATATGGGTCACCCTTCAAAGAGTGGGGGTATATTGCTTTGCATTTGTTCATGACAAGAAGATGACCCCAATCCATTTCGGGGTCTAAGGTCAAGGTCACATTGACCTTGTAACGGTTTTCTATCAATAACTGGACAACCCATGGACTGTTGACCTTTAAGCTTAACAGATTCATAGCTATTGGTCAGAAGATGACCTCAATGGATTTTTTGGGTTAAGGGTCAGAGGTCAAGATCACATTGACCTTATGAATAAAAACGCTTTTTGGTCAATATCCTAACAACTTATGGGCCCTTTACCTTCAATTTTCACAGGTGCATTGGCTTTGGCTGTCATTAATGAGGCCCAATGATTAATAAAATTTATTCTTATATTATTTGGTAAGATTTGTGATAACTTTGTCATTACATTGCTGCACACAACCTAATGATAAAGTCATGACCAATAGATAACGCTTATTGATATATTGGTCAGTAGGTCAAAAGTCAGTTATAATAACCTGAACATGACTATTTGGCTGCCAGGGGCATACATGTTTTACAAATATATCTTGTTCTTCAGACCACTTATTTTTTAAAAAGTCAAAGTTGCTGGTGGGGGTATTAATCACCTTCAGTGATAGCTCTAGTTTGAAGTTTTTATTTTAATTTTTAAGATAATTAGTTAAAAGTTAACTTGTATTTGTTTACAGGTGGTCCTCACAGTACATTTACATCTACATATATGTTATACTCAACATTTCTGTGCAAGCTGGGATACTCAATTCTTATGGGTAGGTTGTATTTACTTGTTCTTTGATTAAAGTGAAATGGTTTGTCTTTTTCAAAGTCCGGTTATGTGTGCTATCATTTTAGCTTGATACAGATTTGATCTGCATCTTATTTGAATCATTTATGCTTTGTGCTTATTTATCCACTGAAGTTTTTAGGTGAAACATTAAAGATATGCTATGCTCATTTTTAAGTAAAATATTTTTATTACAGAAATGTATTGAAATCAATAAAATTCTTACCGAATATATCTTATTTAGATAAAAGAATGTACAAACTTTATAAAGGAATCTGTGCTTCTATTACAGTTCAAGTAAAGCTGGTCCTTGTAGGGTTTAAAACATAACATATCTGCATTGTGTAAAGTCAAAACATGATTATTTTATATTAACAAAAAGACAGTGTAGCAATTATTGATATTTTCAAATAAAATTCGGGCATAGTATATCTGTAGGTTTGAGCTTTTTTTCAAGTGTAAATTTTTGAACCACTATAACTGTTAGTTTAATTGCGCTAAAGGTTTGATGATATGTGAACCACTTAAGTTGTGAACCTATTTGAGTCACTTAAGTTTTAAGCTTATTTTTGAACCACTTTTAAGTTTGTTTCTTGTACAAACATATACTGGTGTAACATGGGTAAACATGATTATAATATACATGTGTTTGAACCTACAATGCCTGGTTTAGAGGCAGACATCTAATCTCTGATTTCATGTACATTGACTTCACATATTTTGGTTAATGTTATGTTGTCTTGTGTCATGTGTTGTATATTAAATTGAGCCGCGTCATGACAAAACCAACATAGTGCGTTTGCAACCAGCATGGATCCAAACCAGCCTGTGCCTTTGCGCAGTCTGATCAGGATCCATGCTGTTCGCTTACAAACCCTATTACAAGTAGGGAAACTGATAGCGAACAGCATGGATCCTGATCAGACTGCGCGGAGGCACAGGCTGGTCTGGATCCATGCTGTCCGCCAACCCACTATGTTGGTTTTGTAGTGACGCGGCTCATTATGTTATTTCAGTAAACTACCGAGGTTCATATGGCTATGGTAATGACAGTATATTTAGTCTACCAGGCAAGTGTGGAGATCAAGATGTTAAAGATGTTCATGTGAGTTAAATTGCCGTCCTTTAATTTCTCCTACTGGGATCCTTCGTAATTACAGGACAATCAGTGTACCGGACTAAATCTATCCCTGTTGAATGTTTGCTTTTATTTTCGTTTCGATTCAGATGTTATTCGGTTTGAAACGTACACACACTTTTCATTTCAAAGTAAATAACAACAAAACCACTCTCAGATAAATATTGTTGATTCTGTCGTTTATTTACTTTCATGCCCTTTTGTTTACTATGTTATTTTATGACTTGGTCATCCCAGGGAATAATGTGGTAATATGAAGGATCCCAGTACCCAAACAGGAAGACAAAAATGATATGATGTGAGAAGATTTAAAGCTGGTTATGATGCAACATTATGATATGGTTTGATAAGATGTGTATCAAAATCTTTATCCAAAGTTATTCTAGTTGCACGTTTTTGAAATTAACACATGTCATTTTAAGAGTCTTTATTACAGTTTCCCTAAATACATGTAGTGAAATACAAGTCTAAATGAGAAAATATGCATGTGTCATGAAATAATAATTTATATAAAATATACACTGCTTTATTTTTTGTTATTCATTTCAAATAAAATATATTACCTGTATCTAAATGTGTTACATGTTATTTGACCCCTAGGATCCTGTACTGTTGTATTTCTCTATATTTCTATTATTCTTATCTCTCATTGTTACTAACCTGTCACCCGTATACTTGATATGCTATATCATAATTCATATCTGACCATTACATATTATAGTTGTGTAATATATTTATATTGTGTATATATATTCTTTTAATGAATATCTTGGATATTTCAGATTTACATTTGTTGTGTCTGTCTATTACCCCACCTGTAATAATATACTATAATGATTACAGTATGCAGCAGTGGAGGTGATAGAGAAGGAAGGTTATGATAAGAATAGAGTGTTTGTATCTGGTGGATCTCATGGGGGCTTCCTTACATGTCATCTTGTTGGCCAGTATCCTGTATGTACCTCTTTTATAATACTGCATGTTTGTTATGTCGCTTTTCATAATTGTGACATTTTAATAGTTTTATATACACGGCTGGTGTCGATTCATGAAGAAATCTTACTTTTTTCTCTAAAAAAATAATGCTTGCTGTATTAAAAATTCATTATAAAAATTGTTGACAGGTTATATGGCCGTATATATAAATGGCTGTTTGCAATATAACCCTCGCCTTACGGCTTGGGTTATATTTACAAATAGCCGTTTATATAAGGTCATATAACCTGTCAACAATCTTTATAACTAATATTGTTCTCTGTTGGATTTAAATGTGTTTTAAACATTGTTGTGCCCCCACGTTAGTGGCGGGCATTTAGATTTACCCTTGTCTGTCCGTCTGTCCGTCCGTTCACTTTTGTGTCGCAGGTAACTCAAAAAGTATTTGACCTAGAGTCATGAAACTTTACAGGAATGTTGATCAGCATGTGTAGTTGTGCACCTGGGTATTTTCGTCTGGATATTTTTAGTATTTTCAGAGTTATTGCCCTTGACTTAGTAAAATTTTGCAATTTTCAACTTGTGTCGCATGTAACTCAAAAAGTATTTGACCTAGATTCATGAAACTTTACAGGAATGTTGATCAGCATGTGTTGTTGTGCACCTCGGTATTTTCGTCTGGATATTTTTTGTATTTTCAGAGTTATTGCCCTTGACTTAGTAAAATTTTGCAATTTTCAACTTGTGTCGCATATAACTCAAAAAGTATTTGACCTAGAGTCATGAAACTTTACAGAAATGTTGATCAGCATGTGTAGTTGTGCACTTGGGTATTTTCGTCTGGATATTTTTAGTATTTTCAGAGTTATTGCCCTTGACTTAGTAAAATTTTGCAATTTTCAACTTGTGTCGCATGTAACTCAAAAAGTATTTGACCTAGAGTCATGAAACTTTACAGGAATGTTGATCAGCATGTGCAGTTGTGCACCAGGTATTTTTTTCTGGATATTTTTAGTATTTTCAGAGTTATTGCCCTTGACTTAGTCAAATTTTGCAATTTTCAACTTGTGTGGCATGTAACTCGAAAGGTATTTGACCTAGAGTCATGAAACTTTTCAGGAATGTTGATCAGTGCAGTTGTGCACCAGGTATTTTAGTCTGGATTTATTTAGTATTTTTAGAGTTATTGCTCTTCACTTAGAAAGTTTTTTTGCAATTTTCAACTTGTGTTGCAAGTTACTCAAAAAGGATTTGACATAGTCATTAAACCTTATGGGCAGGTTGCTCAGCATATTTAGATTTGCACCTGGGGTTTCGCTTGTGGATTTATCCAGTATTTGTAGAGTTATTTCCCTTGACTTAGTTAAAAGATTGACAGAACAGTGGCGCGTCGGGGGCACCCGTGTCCTATGGACACATTTCTAGTTTTTATTCTTGCTTAATAACTGTATTAATATAAGGATGATTATATGTTTAAAAAAAGAAATATTATTATAAAATTCATGTTTGCCCTTTCTAAAGAAGAAAAAATTCATTTTTCTCAGGGAAATTTACCTTTTAAAAGCATCAAAGAATAGAAATAATATGAGCCGCATCATGACAAAACCAACATAGTGTGTTTGCGACCAACATAAATCCAGACCAGCCTGCGCATCCCCGCAGTCTGATCAGGATCCATGCTGTTCGCTTACCAACCCTATTACGTAGAGAAACTCAGATAGCGAACAGCATGGATCCTGATCAGACTGCGCGGATGCACAGGCTGTTCTGGATCCATGCTGGTGGCAAACACACAATGTTGGTTTTGACGTGAAGCAGCTCAATTTTGTTGATTTAAATATATGGTGGATCAAATTTAGTTTATTATCAACTTTTTTTAAATTTTAAAATTTGAATGTTTTGTCAGATGTCATATTTCAAAATAGTTATTCACACTGTCTGTATCCAGTAACCCAGGAATGTGCAAAACTAATGTACAATGTAAAAGTAATGTCAGATCTGTTCATGGCCAAAACAAAGCAAGTAATTGACCAAAATTTTTTGTCCTAAATCAAATTAAAGAAATGTATAAACACATATGGCTGCTTTAAATTTATTTTTAAACTGGGCGTTACAAATTTTTCCAGAAATATGTTTTATTTTAGATCATTCATATTAATGACGACCTGACTACTATTTGGTAAGAACTTCTGTTTTTGATGAAAATAACTACATTCATGTGCTTAACGCTTTACCTCATATATACACGAAACAACGCACTTTCTACCTCCCCCCGCCCCCTTTTATAGGCCTCAAATAGTGACAAAACGCCCTGTCTGGCCCCTAATCACATGTTTTGGTTTGAGAAATGTTGATAAAAAAGGGATCACTTTTTCGGCGCTGTCCCCCATCAAAAAGGTACATCAGGGGGTTGCCAGAAGGGGGATGTGAGAGTCCCTGTAAAGGTATTTTCATACACACAAGTCACAATCAATATTCCAGTCAGGTCAACATTGTCATAAATGATCTTGAAATATAAACACTTTCATGAAAATATTTTTGACAAGGTTTAAAATATATGTCCGCTTTAAATAATTTCTCATTTGATGCACCATAAAAAAATTTGGTTCATTTACTTTTTATGGTGCTTTTTTTGCCACAGAATTGTACTATTTTGCATAACTTTTGCACATTTTTTGCACATACCAGTGTTACTGAGAATTCATGGTGGATTCAGTTAGTTCAGGGTTTTATAAGTATTATATTTACATGTTTTATATTCAGGGTTTTATAAGTATTACATGTTGTAACTATTTTTTATATTCAGGGTTTTTATAAGGCAGCAGTTTGTAGAAACCCAGTCATTAATATTGCTTGTAAGTTAAAAGCTTATTCACAAGTTTTTAAACACAATTTTTAGCCATAAATTTGAAGTTTCATTCAGCTTATTAACCAATCACAAGAGATTCCTGATTACTTATTGATTATCTGAAGAGTATTTGTAGATTTATTTGCTTACAAGTAGTGTCAAAAAGGCAACATCAATGGATAAAAATTTTGTGCGCTGTCAGAACACACAAACTTTATTTCAATTTCCATTATTGCTGTTGTAAACAAAAATGTTTTACAAATGTTTGCCATTGTTCATTTCCAATAAATTAGGAAAGCATTATTATAGACATACTGGAGCAGGGAGGTCATTGATTTTATCTTGATATTTATCTGACTCAAACTCTGAACAAAAAATATATAACATATTTTCAGCAATGTATGGCAGTACAGATATTCCTGACTGGTATGTATGTTTGTTATATAGTCACAATTTTATTAGTACACTGTTGTCTATAGATAATTTTTATGCCCCCGCCATGTAATGGCCGGGGCATATAGTGTTACCCTGTTCCGTCATTCCGTCCTTCCGTCCTTCCATCCTTCCGTCCTTCCGTCCTTCCATCCTTCCGTCCTTCCGTCATTCTGTCATTCCGTCATCATCAGTTTCCGTTCATTATCTTAAGAACGGTTGCACACGTTCAACTCAAATTTGACATATGGATATGTCATGAGAAAATACAGGTCAAGTTCGAATTTGGTCATGGTTCGATGATTTTTGGCAGAGTTATGCCCCTTTTACTTTGAAAATAATATGAAATTTCAGTTTCCATTCATTATCTGCCCAACGGTACAACACATTCAACTCAAACTTGACATATGGATATGTCATGAGAAAATACAGGTCAAGTTCGAATTTGGTCATGGTTCGATGATTTTTGGCAGAGTTATGCCCCTTTTACTTTGAAAATAATATGAAATTTTCAGTTTCCGTTCATTATCTCCCCAACGGTACAAAACATTCAACTCAAACTTGACATATGGATATGTCATGAGAAAATACAGGTCAAGTTCGAATTTGGTCGTGGTTCGATGATTTTTGGCAGAGTTATGCCCCTTTTACTTTGAAAATAATATGAAATTTTCAGTTTCCGTTCATTATCTCCCCAAAGGTACAACACATTCAACTCAAACTTGACATATGGATGCGTCAAAGGAATGTGCAGGTCAAGTTCAAATTTGGTCATGGTTCAATGATTTCTGGCAGAGTTATGCCCCTTTCACTTTGAAAGTAATATGAAATTTTCAGTTTCCGTTTATTATCTCCCCAATGGTACAACACATTCAACTCAAATTTGACATATGGATATGTTTTTGGAATGCCCAGGCCAAGTTTGAGTTTGGTCATGGTTCAATGATTTTGGCAGAGTAATGCCCCTTTCACTTTGCAAATAATATGAAATTTACAGTTTCTGTTCATTATCTACCCAACAGTGTTACATATTCAACTTAAATTTGACATATGGATATGTCAAAGGAATGGGCAGGTCAAGTTGGAATTTGGTCATGGTTTGATGATTTTTTGGCAGAGTTATGTCCCTTTCACTTTGAAAATAATATAGATACATCTTAGGAATAAGCAGTTTAAGTTTGAATTTGGTTGTAGTTCAATGATTTAAGACAAACTTATCTTTCCTGAATGTTGGAAAAATTTTGAACTTTCACTTTCAGCACTCTTACTTTTAGCCATTATTTTGGCTACAAATAATATGCAATATGCTTTTTTTAAAAGGTTTAGACTGAATAATTTAAGTGCCTTGAACATTGTATGAAAATGGTTTGTGTTAACATTGAAAAGTTTTAAGGGCTTTGAACTTAAAATGAAAAAAATAATTAAAGCACCATCTGAAATTTTGGCTGCATACGGGGGCATCCGTGGCATGATGACACATTTCTAGTTTGAAAAGTTTTGAAGGAATTATAAAAAAAAAGAAATTCTTACACATCTTACTTAGTTTTTTAACTACATGTAGACTTTAAAAAATAAATGAGCAAAACCAACCAAGTGCGTTTGCGACCAGCATGGATCAAGACCAAGCCTGCGCGTCAGGATCCATGCTGTTCCCTATCAGTTTCTCTACTTGTAAAAGGGTTGGTAAGCGAACAGCATGGATCCTGATCAGACTGCGCGGATGCACAGACTGGTCTGGATCCGTGCTGGTCGCAAACCCACTATGTTTGTTTTGTCATGTAGAGGTAGATGTAACAGTCACTTGGGTGTAGTCTTTGCTGGCCACAAACTTGTATCTTGATCATAACTTCTTAAGTTCTTGGTGTATTGTCTTCACACTTGACCACAACAAACCATTGGACATGACCTTTGAGAAGACCAGAGTAACCACGACCTTCCCTCATAAATGACCTTGATCTTGAAGGTCAAATTATTGAAATTTTCATTTTTGTGTCGCCACTACGGAGTCTCTATAGTGATCACTTCTCTGTTATTTGTCAGTCTGTCACAAATCTTGTCCAGACTACTCCTAATAAACTCCCTGAGCAATTTCATCCAAAATTACGGGAATGGTCAGTACCAAGTCAAGTTGTGCATATAGTCAGCATTTTTTATTTTTTTTATTTTTATTTTTTAAAATTCTCATGACTACTCCTCTTATACTTCAAATGCAATTTCAATGAATGTTTACAGGATTGATCTGTTTCTTCAAATCCTGGCGCATATCGCACTTGTTTTCTGGTTGAATGATTCATGGCGGAGTTATGGCCCTTAAATGAAAAACGTGGTTTTGCTTGTGTGTTGCAATATACACAAAAGCTTGTCCTGACTTCCTTTCAAAAACTACTGGTGCACTTTCATCCAAACTTTACAGGAATGATAAGTACTAAGTCTAGTTGTGCATATCAATAGCTTTTTATGTCTTAATGAATTTTGTTGAAGTTTTAGACCTTGACCTTGCTGGTTAAATTATTGAATCTTCACTGATTTTTCCCATTATTGACTGCAACTTGGTAAAACATAAATGGATAATTTTTTATACATTGACAAAATGATTTTTTTTTAAAAGATCTTTTAAAATGTTGAACTGACCTTGAGCTTTAAATGACCTTGGCCTTCAAGGTCAAATTATTGAATTTTGGTTAAATAGACATAATTTTGTTATATTTTTTGTACAGATTTGATTAAAAACTTGGACAAAACAACATAATTTTGTTATATTTTTTGTACAGATTTGATTATAAACTTGGACAAAACAAGACTTGCTACCAAACCAAACATAGTAAATGATTTAGATGTGACTTTGACATTATAATATTCAGTATGAAATTTATCAACTTTAATTTGTATAGGTGTAATGTAGAAGCTGGGTTTGATTATGACTTTATAACATTGCCTAGTGAGGAGAGAATGGCAGCCATGTGGAAATGTTCACCATTACAATATGTTGATCAGGTTTGTCTACTTCCTTATGATCCTGTAATATATCTATCCTGAATTTACATAAAGTTGGCCTTATGAATATACATGAGTTTACATAAAGTTTGCCTAATGAATATACATGAGTTTACATAAAGTTGACCTTATGAATATACATGAGTTTACATAAAGTTTGTTTAATGACTATACCTATGTTTACATAAAGTTTGCCTAATGACTATACATGTATAAACTTAAAGTTTGCATAATGAATATACATGTGTTTACTTAAAGTTTGCCTAATGACTATACATGTATAAACTTAAAGTTTGCATAATGAATATACATGTGTTTACTTAAAGTTTGCCTAATGACTATACATGTATAAACTTAAAGTTTGCATAATGAATATACATGTGTTTACTTAAAGTTTGCCTAATGAATATACATTTGTTTACTAAAGGTTTGCCTAATGAATGTACATGTGTTTACACAAAGTTTGCCTAATGAATATATACATGAGTTTGCATAAAGTTGGCCTAAAGAATATACATGTGTTTACATAAAGTTTGCCTACTGAATATATACATGAGTTAACATAAAGTTGGCCTAATGAATATACATGGGTTTACATAAAGATTGCCTAATGAATATACATGTGTTTATATAAGGTTTGCCTAATGAATATACATGAGTTTACATAAAGTTGGCCTAATGAATATACATGTGTTTACATAAAGTTTGCCTAATGAATATACATGTGTTTACATAAAGTTTGCCTAATGAATATATGACTATCTAATAGATTGAGACTCCAGTGATGATCATGATTGGAAATGATGATAAAAGATGTCCACCAAAACAAAGTTATGAACTGTACAAGGCCCTTAAAGCAAGGAACAAACCAGTCAAGTATGTTATATATTTAATATTGTTGTATTCACAGTTCATGCATCAGTGAGGAGGTATTTAACCCCAAATTTCCCTGTCCCTTATTGGTGATCTTCCCCTCCCTCATTGCTGATAGCAAGGGAAGACCAGGTCAAGTATTTACATTTACCTACAGTTTTCTTTGTGCTGCTTGGGCCATTTGTAGATTTTGTAATGCATGGTGCCAAAATTAGGGGGTGGCATATGTAGTCCAAAAAATATTTGACCTAGAGTCATAAGATTGACAAAACATTGGAGTTATTCATGAACAGAATGATACCTTTCATATTTGGTAGTAGGAAGATAAATTGCATGTTATTCTTCCTCTTGATTGAGTAAGGGGTCAGTGGGTCATATGTCAAGAGTGCCAATAATAGATTTCTACTCATTTACTAAAAAAAACAATTTTTTTTACTGATGTTTTTTATATTTGGTAGGATGTTAACTTGCATCCTTTAGATTGAGTTAGGGATCTTGGTGTTTTTACAGTAAGGTCATCAGTGCTAGAAATAGTTTTTTTTTTCATTTTTGCCCACAGAGCCTTTATTTATGGACATATGTCTTTCCTATTAGGTTGGAAGATAACTTGAATGTTTTTCTTTTCGATTGAGTAAGGGGTCAGTGGGCCAAGGTTAAGAAGGCCAATAATAGATTTCTACACATTTGCTAAAGCAGCCTTTATTTTTGACTGATATTTTTCATATTTGAAAGGATGATACTTTGCATCCTTTGATTGAGTCAGGGGTCATTTGAGTCAATGTCACCAGTGCTAGAAATAGATTTCTACACTTTTTTATACAGCCATTGTGAACATACGTAAGGTGGTCCTTTAAGTTTGGATGGAGTTTTAGGTTGCTGGGTTCAAGGCAAAGTCTTGCATTTGCATAACTCGCCAACTTATATTTTTCACAATTACAAAACGCCATGACTCTGTCAAGTTATATAACTGTGTTCACATTTTTATATACTATTTTCGGCCCTTAACTGAGTGAATGGGTAAATATTATTTTAAATATTGTTACTGACAAGAATCTAAGCTGGGGCATTTGTGTTAAAACATACACGCTCTTGTTCACAGATGCAATCTTTTTCATTTTTGGAACATACCTTAGATGGTTCAGTGCTGGGAGTCACAATCACAATTTCAATTCCGATAACAATGAATTTTTTACACTTTCTTAGCTTTTGTATTTTTTACCAATGTGTCATATTTACAAAGAACATACCTAAGGTGGTTCTGTAAGTTTGAATGGAGTTTCAGGTCTCAGGGTTTATGGTAAACATGTTCTTGTTACTTTTAATAATTTATTGTTCATTCATCTAAAGCTTGAGTAAAAATATTTCATCTTATGGTCTTCAGCTTACAGAAATCAAAAACAAACTTCAAAAACATTAAAGTCTTTATAAATATTTGGTAGTCAGTTTGATTTTAAATAATCAGCTTAGGAAAATTAAGTTTTTAAGCCTAATTACATACTTATCTATTTTGTTGTTTGTAAAATAGTATAAATTTATGTTTGTCATTTATATTTTTGCAGATATTTAGCATACCCAGACATTTATATTTTTGCAGATATTTAGCATACCCAGACAATGGCCATCCCATTGTAAAAGTGGATTCTGAAGCTGATGCCTGTATGAATATGTACAAATGGTTCACAGAGTACCAGCCCTAAGAAGCCATTACAATTCAGTTGATGTCAAATAAATATTGAAATGAGTTATGTCATACTATAACTGTGCTGAGTTATTGTACTGTATTTATTCAGAATTTTAAAGCTGATTTTTTTTTTATAATTGTATAAGTGTATGAACAGAGAAATCAGGTTTTCAGATCATTTGAATTATTTAAAAATATCTATCAAGTCTAAACAGTGTTTCAATTTTGAATCAATTCAAGTGTTAAATTGATCGATTTCAAAAATGATCTGGCCAGACTTATCAAATTGGTAGCAAACTTTTAATTTTATTTGAATTAATCATCGTAATGAATTGATACAGTTAAACAGAAATTATGTAAACAGACTTATTAATCTGAAAACACAATTTCCCTATTATGTTTACATGTTTACTCATCTGTTTTTTTTATGTGAAGGAACTGGAAATAATTTTTCCAGATTAATGTTTCATATGATATAGGCAAAACCAGTAACACGTGTGCGAAATTCAACGTCATTTGCTTACTCCATATCTGGCAGAAATCTTATTTTAAATGGTTTTACATATGATTATCATTATTTTAAAGATATACTATGCTCAGATTTTATATCTGGAAATATTGATAATTGCTACACAGTCTCGTTTTAACTAAAATAAATATGTTTTGACTTCACACAAAGTAGTTGTTATGTTTGAAACTAAAATACACACTAAGAGGCCACAATATGAATATATAGTGTCATTAAAAAAACTGCCAGTTTTTAAGCTCACCTGTCACTAAGTGACAGGGTGAGCTTATGTGATCGCTTTTCGTCATGCGTCCGTCCGTCGTCCGTCCGTCGTCCATCTGTAAACTTTTACTTTAAATGACATCTCCTCATAAACCACTAAGCCAATTTCATCCAAACTTCACAGGAATGTTCTTTGGTGGTCACCTTAAAAAATTGTTCAAAGAATTTAATTCCATGCAGAACTCTGGTTGCCATGGCAACCGAAAGAAAAAAACTTTTAATATCTTCTTTTAAAAAACTCTAAGAGCTAGAGCTTAGATATTGGGCATGGAACATTTTCTAGTGAGTGTCTACCAATTTTGTTCAAAATTGGCCCCGCCCCAGGGGGGTCATTGATTTTCCCTATATGCATATAGTAAAAACTTCAAAAAATCTTCTTTTAAAGAAGCCAAAGAGCTAGAGCTAAGATATTTAGCATGAAACATGTTCTAATGGGTGTCTACAAAGTTTGTTCAAATAAAAGCCCTGGGGTCAAAATTGGCCCCGCCCCGGGGGTCATTGATTTTCCTTATATGTGTATAGCAAAAACTTTAAAAATCTTCTTTGAAAAAAACCAAATAGCTAGAGTTTAGATATTAAGCATGAAACATCTTCTAGTGAGTGTCTACAAAGTTTGTTCAAATAAAAGACCTTGGGTCAAAATTGGCCCCGCCCCGGGGGTCATTGATTTGCCTTATATGTGTATTGCAAAAACTTAAAACTCTTCTGTGAAAAAACCTGAATAGCTAAAGTTTAGATATTAAGCATGAAACATCTTCTAGTAAGTGTCTACAAAGTTTGTTCAAATAAAAGCCCCGCCCAGGGGTGTCATTTTGTTTTAAGTATATGTGTATAGTAAAAACTTAAAAAATCTTCTTTGAAAAAACCCAATGAGCTAGAGCTTAGATGTTTAGCATGAAACATCTTATGGGTGTCTACCAAGTTTGTTCAAATAAAAGCCCTTTGGTGAAAATTGGCCCTGCCAGGGGGAGGGGGAGGTCTATATACAGGTGAGCGACCTCAGGGCCATCATGGCCCTCTTGTTAAAGAAAGGACAAACATTACATGACATGTAATAGGAAAAGCAGTTTCCCATTGAAACTTTATTTGTTTTCTTTTTCAAATTAAACATATTCAAGAAGAATTTCATAGATTTAAATTAATTTCTGTGATAAAAATATTTTACCCAAGCATGAGCATAATATTATATATCTTTAATATTATGTAAATACTATTTATATGAATATTGAACGGTGTAAGCTGGTACAACTTTAATTTTTCATAAAATAAATTTTCATTGGCAAGTATGATATTGATATCAACAATTAATTAATGACAAGTTAAAATGAAAATTATGTTCTATTTGTATTTTGAGGACACACGCAAACAAGTCGGTATGAAGTCTTGGAAATATGTGTCCTAGTCATAGACCTCTACTTTGTAAGTTATAAGTATTTGACTGTTCACTACATTCATTCTTTGAAGATGTAATGATTGCTTTGGCGTTCAACCTGTAAGAAAGGAGTTTTTTTTGTTTTTGATTAATTCAGTTTGATTATCAGTATTCAATAATCGCTTAAAAGATGCTAAGGAATAGGCATTTTATGCTTCATCTTTACAGGGTGTTAAATTATTTTCATCTTACGTAAGACAATAAGCTTGTGTTGTTCAGATTCAGATAAAAGTTTTCAAAAGAGACAAGTTTTGTAGTTCCAATCATTATCTGTGTTTCTTTACGTTGGATTTATTCAATTTATTGTTTGTTGCCATAAAGGACATCACTGTTTGAAGGAAAGGTCGAATAAATAATGTACAATGTATATATTACTTCAAGTGATTTTCTTTGTTTCTGAAATTGCATTGTTTTCATTATATTTATTGGCGTCCAGGCTATTTTTATCATATACACGTTGTAGTATTGAATGTGTGTCGTTCCCCTGAAGCCATTTGAGAAGAAAATACCAAAATATTTATGAATATTAACTTCTTTAAATGTTGGTCCTGAACTGATATTGGACGTTTGTGGTATTTAAGTTGACAAGCTATGTAGAAGCTCAATTCTGATATCAGATAAAATGGTTTGACAGAAACATCCCGGGCATATTTCATGAAACTATATACAGAGGAGATTTCATTTAAAACAATTTTGGACTGACGACAAATGAACAACTGACAATCATTGACCCTTATATCTCACCAATGTGCTTAGTTGAGCTAAAAGACTTTATTTAGCTAGGAGATAGCGGATGTCAATAATGAATACAAACATGTATTATATCAGAACATATTGTCCTAGGATGATAATTTGGCCTGAACGGTACATGGGAAAGTCCAAAAACGGGGTTATCTGGATTATTATCCGATATCATAAAAGTTAACACTTACATATACTATATAGCATTACTCTTACAGAATCATTTGTGTATTACCGTTATGGCTCTGTCGGTAGATCGAAATTATTGTAAGCTTTGGTGTTTTGTACTCATAGGTTCGAACCCTACGTAGTGCCATTTTATAACCACAGTTTTTTCTTCTTGCTCTGTTCTTTTTATCATTATAATAATTTATTTATTTTTGTTTTCCTTTTTGATTTCTTCTTATAATATATATTTGATAGTATATATTTATTTCCTTTCATTTTTATTCTTTTTTCTTTTTGTATTTTTTGATCGCAGTGTAATAAAATATTTGATCTCATATTCATGTATGTATACGAAAAAACCGGTCAAACTTGTTTTCTGAACAATTGAGTGTTCTCAGGTAAAAAAAAATGTGTCGTACCAGTAGTCGAACTTCTGTCTGTACAGATAAAACACATTACTGACATGGTTGCTCTACCTACTGCGCTAACAAAACATATGATAACATGCAGTTTTATTTTCATTTTTATAGGTTGTGGCATTGATCTGCCTAACCTTTTTATACGCCCGTTTGAAAAAAAACTGGACGTATTATGGGAACGCCCCTGGTGGGCGGTCGGGCGACGTCCAATTTTGTCTGGAGCATATCTCCTACATGTATGGAGGGATTTTTAATGAAACTTCATAGAAATGTTCACCACTATGAGGAGCAGTGTCGCGCACATGAACCAGGTCTCTAGGTCAAAGGACAAGGTCACACTTAGAGCTCATTGAAAAATGCTTGTCCGGAGCAAAACTTCCACATGTATAGAGAGATTTCAATATTACTTGGCACAAATGTTCACCATTGTGAGGTGGAGTGTCGCGCGCAAGATTCAGATCCTTGCGGCCAAGGTCAAGGTCACACATAGAGGTCAAAGTTCAGATAAAAATAAGAAGATGTGTATATGGACCATTTAGTCATCATTTATTGAGGGATTGTAACACAAATGGTCATTATCAAGACTATGGCTGTGATACATATAATTTAGTTTAATATATACAAGGTCAAGGTCACTAAAGATGGTGAAATATCCAGATTTTGTCTGGAGCATATTTCCAAAATGTATGGAAGAATTTTTATAATACTTTATGGAAATGTTCACCACCATGATATGTATTGCTCCATGCATGATCCAGGTCTCCAGGTCAAAGGTCAAGGTCACACTTAGAGCTCATTGAAAAACGCTTGTCTGGAGCAAAACTTCTAAATTCATAGGGGGATTTCAATATAACTTCGCACAAATGTTCACCATTGTGAGGCTGAGTGTGGCACGCAAAATTCAGATCCCTGCGACCAAAGTCAAGGTTACACATAGAGGTCAAAGTTCAGATAAAAAATTGAAGATGTGTATAGGGACCATTTAGTCATCATTTATTGATGGATTGTAGCACAAATGGTAACTATCATGACTACAGGTGTGACACATTTAATTTAGGTTAATATTTGCAAGGTCAAGGTCACTGGAGATGATAAAATATCCGGATGTTGTCTGGAGCATATTTTCTACATGCATGGAGGAATTTTAATGTTACTTTATAGAATTGTTCACCACCATGAGACGTAGTGCCCTGCACATGAACCAAGTCTCTAGGTCAAAGGTGAAGGTCACAGAGCTCATAGAAAAACGCTTGTCTGGAGCAAAACTTCTACATGCATAGAGGGATTTAAATTTAGTTTGGCACAAATGTTCATCATTGCGAGGCTGAGTGCCGTGCATAAAATTCAGGTCCCTGCGACCAAGGTCAAGGTCACACATCCTATGCATATCTTCCCTACTGTTTTGTTTTAAGGTTCATTTAACAACACAGTGCCAAGAATAAAACTTTACTTGCTAGATAACACTTATCCATAATGCCCCCATCTCCATCTAAAGCTTTCGTAAACGAGCGTATTTTGTGACTATGGCACCCTTGTTTCGCATTGTTATTGGTCTATGTTATGTAAACAAAGGCTCAAGGTATCATCCTAGGACAGTATTATGTCAAATTGACCAGCTAAAATATGTGTTTATTCAGTATAAACAATATGACTCTCTGCCGGTGAATATCACATCATATTCAATGACTCACTAGTTAATAATTGTTTTATTATATGAATAGGATTAGAATTTAAAAGAGGACAAAAAAAAAATGAAACCTTACATACATGTACATATTTTGACACGTTGAAGCGCGGGAAAAAGACGCACGTGTTAGGCTTGCAACGACTATTCAAACGCTGCGCATGCAAAAGTAATTCACGTTTATACTCGTCATTGCGGTGTTGCCTTCAAGTATAATAGTAAAGTAATGTTATTTTAATCGAGAAATATGCCATGAAGAACAAAACGCGACGTATATTTTTTAATTACTAGTAACAGTCTTAGACTAGATTGAGACTCATATTTTATGACCATACACGTGTAAGATTGAATATGAGTCTCAATCTATTTTTAGAATGGGAAAGTCCAATTCAGCCAGTCTCCAAGTGAATATGATT